GGGAGCCTGCCCGACTGCCTTGTTGTACGGACTCCAGATACCACCCCTCCATACTTTTTATGAACCAAACCAACAGTTTCCAAAATAAATAAACAAGTTAACGTTAAAATTTTTGAAGAAAGAAACAGGGGACGGCAATGTTCACGTTGTTTTTTATTATGAAGATAACGGATGGCACGCTTTTGAAGAACGAATGCTGAGTGAAAGGCGTAACCTGGGCAAAACCCCCAAAAGGCCACCCCATAACGTAAAACAGAGTCCACCAGGGAGAAATACACCATTCTTGCCAGTGAATACCCCAACTCTGAAGTAGTCATTCTCACAGCAAAGCAGGCAGAAGCCAGTCGAGCTTTCAATCGCTCTATGTGCTCAATAAATTTTAAGTTCTTGTCGACAATTATTCCTAGAAATTTTACACTAGAGGAACAACCTATTGTTTGCGTCTCCAAATTTATGGGATCAACAGACAATCCAAAGGAAAGAATGTTTGTTTTGGAGATATTAAAACACAGTTGGTTGCTGTCACACCACTGCTTCATGGAAACAATATCTGCAGTCATCGCCTCATGCAGAGTGGATCTAGGACAGTGCCACAGAGCAGTAGTATCATCCGCAAACCGCGTAAACATACAACTAAGAGGCAAGGAAACAAGATTTTTTTTTTTTTTTTTTTTTTTTTTTTTTTTTTTTTTTTTTTATTTATTTATTTATTTATTTATTGATCAACAATAGTATCCTTAAATAATAACAAAAATACCCAATATAGTTTACCTATACTTAACACTATTGCCTAATGTGGGTGCACGATGGTATTTGAAATACTGTGTGTGCCCCTTTTTTCCTACATCAGTCTATCCCTTGAGGTTCCTAATTTGACTCACTTATGTATATAAATATAAACAATAATAATGTTATTATCTTTTACTATTTTTAAATTAGGTAATGTATCTTGTAATTACTCTGACGAATCCACTGTTTTATTTCTCTTTTACATCTATGATATGGCTTGTTTCTAATATTATTCGGGAGGCTATTAAAAACTTTTGGTCCTAAGCTAGAAATGTGATATTGACAGATTGTATGTTTGGGGTTGTGTCTTGTCACATTGTTCTTAGCAGTGTTTCTCGTATTTACTCCGTGGCTAATAGGTTCCTTATAATAAGGCACTTTTAACATAAATCTAACTATTGCCTTAAGGTGCAATTGTTGGATATCTAACAGTTCACTATCTTTGAAAACCAACTCAGTTGGATATCTTTTATTTTTAAATAACATAATTTTTATTATGTATTTCTGTGCTACTTGGAGCTTGTTCAATGTAGTCACACCTGCACTACCCCAAACAACAATGCCATAATTAATTATGGATTCGACGAGCGCATAGTAAACTACTTTCAAGGTAACCAGAAGGAAAATAAATAAATAAGAACATTTCTGCTGAAGTCCTGATGGACTTGTGTGCAGACTTTTCTTGTTATTCCATTCAGTTATGCAGACCGCGTTTACATGTTGAAACAAAATAATAAGTAGTCATAGGAAGTACTTGAAAACACAAAACAATCTAAATTTGACCCTTAGCATACCAGGGAGCATACCCATTTCCATAAATTTACAACAATAATTATAAGTATATAAATAATAACAAAACAAAAAAATACCTCAGTAGCCCTATGTTGTATAAATCCATTGTCACTCTGCACTTCAAAAAAACAAGATTCATAAAGAGAATTTGCCTATTTTAAAGAAGAATTCTTTGAACCTAAAGATTGAATATGCAACTCGATATGCAAGTAATGTTATTTGAGTTTTCCATTTATTAGTTCATTAAAAAACGTACGGGGAGTTTCAAGAATCCATTTCTTCAAAATACTTCTAAACAATTTCAATATAGTGACATCCTTAAGAAAATCTGGCAAAAATCTATAGATGTAAGGCCCGAGAAAGGAAATTGTTCTTTGAGCAATTGTCTTTTTGGTTTTAATAGTTGCAACCCTCAGTTTCAACTTTTGTCGGGTATTATGTGGGTGATCAATCATATTTAGTTTGTGCCTATATCTGAATTGATATATTAACAATTTGAAGGTATATAATTTATTAATGTCCATTAGCTTACTCTCTTCATATGTTTTGTTACTTGAATAAAGGCGATTTTTATTGATCATTATCCTTAGGAAAACCTTTTGAATTTTTTCTAACTTTTCAATATGTATTTTATAGGCTCCACCCCACCCAACTATCCCATACTGAATTAAGGATTGAACGAGTGCACAATACATAATCCTAAGTTGTGAAAAGCAAAGAATTTTTTTTAGTTTTTTAAATTTAAAAAGTATAACACGTAGTTTATTTATTAGGTTGTTGATATGTACGTCCCATTTCAAATATCTATCCAGTACTATTCCCAAATATTTTATATTATCTGTCCCTTTTATAGTTACTTTTGAGTTATTTGCTTGTGTTACGTTAATTTCTGTGAAATTTGGAGCTTTTGCCTTACTACAACTGAAAGGTATGTATTTTGTTTTCTTAAAGTTAATTGTCAGAGACATCTCATCAAACCAATCCTTTATCTTTGCTAAATCCTTTTCTGCTTGTAGTTTCGTTTCTTTCCATGTTTTTCCACTGTATATAATAACTGTATCATCAGCAAACGATGCGATCAGCCCAAATGTATTTATGTTTAACAAGCCATTTATATACATTGTAAATAGGATTGGGCCTAGTACGCTTCCTTGAGGAACACCGTACTCCACAGTTGTTGGTTCACTAAATGTTTTACCGATCTGGACATATTGCCTTCTTTCACTTAGATATGATATTATCAGTTTTTCTGTAATTCCACGAAATCCTAGATTTTTTAAGACAGTTATCAGCATGGGGTGATCCACAGTGTCGAATGCCTTTGCAAGGTCTAAAAAAAATACCATAACATATTCATCATTATCAAGTTTTCTGTAAACATTATCCGTTACGTATGCTATGGCATCTTCTGTGGATAACCCCTGCTGAAACCCAAACTGTTTGTCTGATATTAATTTATATTTAGTAAGATAAGAAACAACCCTTTTTTTCATTATTTTTTCCACAATTTTTGAAAGCATAGAAATTAGGGTTATTGGTCTATAGTTTTCTATCTGTAACTTTCCCCCAGATTTATAGAGAGGTTTGATAATTCCAATTTTCAGCCTACTTGGATAGTATCCCTGTTCAAATATTTTATTTATTATATGTGTAAGTGGTGTTTTTATGTATGGAGCTAAAATTTGAAGAGTTTCTGTAGTAATTGTATCATATCCTGGAGATTTTTTCTTTTTCAAATGATTTATTATTCCTTCAACTTCAAGTTCATTTGTTGGTTCCAAAAAAAATGTGTTTTCTTGTATTTTTCCATTAAATTTAGTTTTTCCTGTTCTTTTAATTTTTTTCGCTAGATTTTTTCCCAAACTTGTGAAGTATTTATTGAACTTGTTTGCTATTTCTTTTTTGTTCGTAATTGTGCGCTCGTTTGATTTGATTTGTTTTATTTCTGTGTTTTGTTGTTCTTTTCCCAAATATTTGTTAACACTTTGCCAAAGATTTTTGCTGTTATTGCCTTCTTTATTTATTTCTCTTTGAAAATAGTCTTTTTTAGTTTTGTCTAGTAATCTTTCAAATATTTTTTTATACTGTTTGTAAGCTATTTGTTTTTGAATATTTTGGTGGTCCAACTGTGATATTTTATATAATTCATTTTTTCTTTCTGATGAAGTCATTAAACTTGGAGTTATCCACGGATGCCGTTTTTTTAAATTTTTTCTGTATTTAATTGTGTCTGTAGCCGAATCTACTGCTGCTTTCAACTTATTCATAAATAGATCCATTTTAATGTCCAGATTCTCAGTTTCGTAATAATCCGTCCAAGTTTCATTTTGTATAATATGTACAAGTTTTTTTGTATTTATTTTTTTGTATTCGACATTTTTATTATTATCTAACAGAGATTCATCGATTTTTAAGACAGCTACTACTGGGTAATGATCAGTAATATTCCTTTTTATTATAAATGACATCAACTCCTGATTTAATTCACCTCTCATAAAAATATGGTCTATGCAGGACTTTGACCCATTTCTTTCTCTAGTGTATCCATTTATTAATGATTTAAATCCATGTTCACTAAGCAAATTTAGGTATTCATTAACATAATCTACGTTTTCTGATTTAATATTAATATTTGTGTCTCCAACAAAAAATGCTGTTTTGTAATTTTGCCAAGGGGAACTAGTTATGTAGTTTTGTAAGCTTTGAACCAAATCTTGAGGTTTTATGGCATAAGGCCTGTATAATGTATTTATTTGTATTTTTTGCCTATTAATTAAGAGATGCAGTTTAATCATTGTAACATTTTCTAATAACACCGTTTCAAATCTAAAATTATCCTTATATTTTTCTTTTATGTAAATAATTAGGCCATCATTCTGATTAAATCTACCCTCATTGTAAAATGATTCATAACCCACTATATTGAAGATATCCTTGTCCAAAATTTCCCAGGTTTCACCAAAGATAATTATGTCAAAATAAAAGTTGAAATCACTCAAAAGCAATAAAGCTTCATTGAAATTTTTATTAATGCTACAAACATTCATGTGAAAAATTGAAAACGTATGTTTGTAACCCTTCTCAGTTATGGATTGAAAAAATTCTTCTTTGTTGCAAACCTCCCTGGACTTTATGAGTTCCCGATCTATATTTTCCATATATTCATTCATGATTCTATTAAAATTTACTCCACTTTATTAATAAAACCCAATGGAATGCAAAATCTATTGATATAGAGAAAAAAAAAAAAAATGACAATGTTAAGTTTAAAAGGTATAAAAACATTTAGTTGGTTTCAACAAGATAAGATATAAATAAATAGGGACGGACACAGACAAACCGCACAATAGTTTCGAACCTATAAGTACCTAATATTAATTGATTGATTTTGAGTTGCCTTTTGGAGTTTTTGGAGTTACCTTAAGTTTTTTTAAGTCCTTTGAGCTTTGCTCTCGGCCAATACTGTCCCTATCCCTCTTCTTAACTTCTTGTGTAGTATTTCTTAGTATTTCCTGTTTTTGTCCAACTATTGTTTCTTTTACTTCCTGATAGTTTTCTTCAAAAAATTTATTGACGGCATCCAAAGGTATGGAGGGCGTATTAGGTACACTATTGGACTTCTGCTCAGCCGAAGCATCTTCCTCAATTTCTTGCAAGTCCTTAGCTGTATATATATCTCCGTTTATCACTAAACGATTGCCTCTTACAATTTTCGCATTTTGATTTTTTCCTCTTGCCAACTTTAAATGCTGTTGCAAAATCTTATGTTCCTGCCTATCCTGCACACAAAGATCCTGTGCAATAAATATCTTTGTGTTTTTCAATTTCTTAGCATTTGTTATTATGGAAATTTTTTTAAGGTAACTTACAAATTCCACCTTGATCGGATAGGACTTACTGTTTTGCTCAGTGTTCTTACTTAGTGCAAACACATTATTGAAGTCGTTTTCCTGTGTGTCTACGTTGAGAACGTTTTTAAAAAAAGTACTGACTTTTGTGACCAAGTTTTCATTTTCTTTTGGTATTTCTAATCCATAAATAATAATATTATTCTTTCTCAATCTTCTTTCAAGAACTAACACTTGATTCTCCAAACTAGCACAACGGTTCTGTAATACCTGTATGTTCTTCTGTTGTTCATTTAAGGAATCGAACAGTTTTTCATGTTCACTCTTTATATATTCCCTAATTTCAGTACTAGTTTTGCTTGCTGACTGGTTTATTGCCTCCAGAAGTTTATTATATTCTTCATTTGTAAAGTTTACCATACTTACAAATATTGGTGATTGGTGCAATTGGTCTTGTTCCAAATGTCTCAGCACTTTTTGTTGTGAACTTCGGAATTTTGGGTATTGTTACTTAACCCAGTAGTTTTCACAGTCAATTACAAGATGTTCACAAAATACGAATTTTTACAAGTCCGGTAATGTAAAAATTATAAAAAAACGACCACTTTATACCAGCAAAACTTGAAAAAACGCAGCGCGTCAACAAATAAACATCTGCATGCTACGATAGCCGAGCCATCGTCATCCTCTACATAAATTGAAAACAGTAAAGGTCCCAAAACTGATCCTTGTGGGACTCCTCTAGGATTTAATAGAGGTTTAGAATATGTACTTCTACTACCCACGACCTGAAAACGATCAGACAGCATTGACAGGATCAGTTCACTCGAACGTCCCCGGAAGCCGTATCGCTCCAGTTTTTGCAGCAATATATTGTGACTCACACAATCGAAGGCTTTCGAAAAGTCACAGAATACTGCCGCCACAGAGTCCGATCTAGAATTGAGCCCCAGATAAACCTCCTCTAAAAGATTAAAAATTGCGTCCCCAGTGTTCATACTCTTTCTGAAACCAAATTGTGTATTAGTAATTATTTTATGCTTTTCCAGATGTTCAAGTATTCTGGATTTCATAAGTTTCTCCATGACTTTAGAAATTGACGATAACAAGGAAATCGGCCGAAAGTTGGATGGATCATTAGTATTACCACCCTTATGCAGTGGAATGACTAATGCTGTTTTTAAACAATCGGGAAACACACCTGTAAAAAATGTCAAGTTCATTAGATTTACAAGAGTATCCAGAGCTGAGTCCGGGAGATTCATTAAGACTTTAACCGAAACACAGTCAAAACCAGAGGAGTTTTTATTCTTAATCCCCATAAGCGCAAGTTTGACTTCATCTAGACTTGCAGGAAGAAATTGGAAGGATTCCAGTACATATACCTCTCTAAGATAATCCAGGGGATTAACAGAGGAAGGTAAGTTGGATGTTAATGTGTCCGCTATGGTACAATAAAAGGTGTTAAGTTTATCCAGTTCGATCTCAATATTTTGGGCCGGTTGACCATTCTTTCCCCGCAGATCATTAATGATATTCCAGCTTTCTCTAGACTTGTTTTGGGCACCCCGAAATCTGACATTATAGTATGCTTTTTTGGCAACCTTTAGAGTCCGTCTGTAGATAGATCGGTACCTGCTAGTATACTCTATAATGGATGCGTTATTTGTGTGTTGCCTAACAGACCAGAGAAATCTCAAATTTTTCCCAGAAATACGAATACCCCTCGTCACCCAAGGTTTCCTTTTTTTAAGTTTTATCCTACGCAATGGAAAACACTTGTTAAAGATATTCAGCAAAACACCGTAAAATTGACTAAAGGGATCCTGGCAAGCAAAAACATTGTTCCAACAATACAATAAGCATTCATTATGAAAAGTTTGGAAATTTCTTTGACTATAGATTCTGCCCATTTTGTGCAAACAAACCTTTTCTGTACCAAAAAGAAGAGCCGATATGAAAATCGCCTTATGATCTCCCATTCCTGGATCAAGGGTTATGGAGGTCACCGTACCCTCCAAATTTGTGCATGCGTAATCTAGCCCTGATTTTGAGGTAGGTGTTACCCTGGTGTACTCCGTATTATGTCTTTTGATATTAAAACTAGCAAGCAAATTTTTGAGGTCGGTGGCATCCCTATATTCCGTCATAAAATCAATATTTAGATCCCCACCCAACACTATCTTGGCTGAAGAAGGAAGCGAGCACAACAAAAGTTCTAGCTTATTTAGAAAGCTCTTGGAACTTTGGGAGGGTGAAGTGTAAACTGAAACAAAGTAAGTGCTATCAGCTGAATCTGCCACCAACGAAAACTCAAACAACCTCTCCTCAATCAAATAATTGAATCTATCAATTGAGCAGAATCTATAGGCATAGAATAGGCAATCACTCGAGTATGATTATCTTCTATTCTATTTTTCGTCGATTGTGTGTTTCCTGATAGTTATATAAACCAATTCTGGAGCCGCACACTTTTCCATATTCTTGGAACACCCAAGGCCTCTACAAAAACGCTGATCCGATTACAATGGATTAACGCGATCAAATTTGATTTATAGTTTCTTCTCTAGCAAAAGTAATACAAAAGACTCGTTGCAAAATTAAAATGTCCTTACAAAATCAAGCAAGCCCCCTTGATATAAATAATTACACTTGGTATCAGTACACAGTGCATTGTACCATGCCTCTGGCTGGTCAGCCCAGAGAGTCCGTGTCATGCAGAATTCTACATATTATCGACAGGATTCTATAGGCTCAGCATATTCAATTTGTAGAATTCTACATGGCACGGAGTCCCTGTCCGGGCCTTCACGCCAAACGCCAACAGCGAACAGCCGGAATTGGGGAATCATCGAGGAATCCCTGATATTTCCTGCAAAAATGACGCTCATCCAACTGAAAATTCGCTATTTTTAAAAAAAAAAACCCAACAATAATGGTGGGTTTTATCAACGGAAAAAACCGAAAAAACTGGGGAAATTCTATGCCAACCCTGTGGATCAATCGGTTCAGCATTTCCGTAAAAGCCTTTTGTATTTGATTCATACCAGAAGGACTATAGACAGTAAAGATAATATCATACCTTTATTCCAAAATATTTCAACTTCAAAAATTGTCAAATTACAAGAATATTATAGGTTACGTTTATTACTATAAAGTTAGGAGCGCTATAAAGAAAGCACTGTAACTATGTACTTTACACTAGGCATTACAGAATACGAGCTTTGGCGTTCAATCAATGTAAATTTCAATTATACATCGCGATATAAACTTACGCGCTTTAAGATTTACAGTGATGTAAGACGATTTACAGAATAGGCACATTAGTTTAGCAACAGTTTGTCAATTTTAACTTTAATGTTCTTTGTAGCCTAATGTCCTGAAGATGGGGTGCAATTTATAAACCCTGAAACCATGGTAGTCAATAAATGAACTTAGATACCTATCACTCAGAATCAATTTTATTGGTTGAAAATAGTCCTCAGAGAAATTTTTGTTCGCGATTTGCACCAATCAAAAATGCTCACTGGTTTGTGATTTCTGTGAGAACAGACTTAAATTATTATCTCAACTGGAAAATAGCTAAATGTGTATATTTAGATTTCCTAATAGTTGATGTTCAAAACATGCATTAATTTATCTTTTCCTGAAGACAGGACTGACAATCAAAAGAAATCATTTGTCCAAAAAAGGAAATCCAAAAAGCACATTGTTATTTTCGTGTCTGTAAATGGCCAACATCCAAGAAAATTAGAAAACATAACCAAACTACTATAGACACGTTTCAAAAAAAAAATAATAATAAAATAATAACTAATTTCAACATTAGGACCGTCTGTTGGACCATAGGAAAGTTATTGTGGGAAAATAATTAAGTTAATGGCCAAAAGCAAGCGAGTCCGTTCTTTGACCGTTTTTTTGAAAGGAGCTTGGGGTCGGTGAACGGCTGAAATGTGATGTGAACATAACCGGTACAATGAACGTGCCAAAAGCTGGATCCTGCTCGGATCCAGATGGAAAAAGCCACGTTACAAACAGCATTTTTAAGGCCAAATATGAAAGAAAGTAATGGTAAAATAAGGTGCGTGCACACGCCACCATGTGACCTATAAACTAAATTAAAAAAAAACAAATAATGGCAAATCAAATACCCTTTTTCGTCGTCGTCCAACATTTCGTGTTTGAGTCGCAACATTCGCATGCTATTTCGGGGGGGCCCCCTTTATTATTATATGTGTGAAAAATTTATTTGAGTAAAAAAAATTCACCAGGAATTTTTTACAGGGCCGGTCTCGCGCAGCTGCACGGCATCCACCACGTATTCACTTTGCACCCGCACACACACACCAACAGGAGGAAACGACGGAACTGCAATGGCGGCTGCTCTGGCGGGCAGCTTTCCGTCAAAAAAAAAAAAATCTACCCGTGTCCCCCTGTGCGCCATTTTGCAGCGCGCCAGTTATACATTTTTATTTATTTAAATAAAGATAACTTACCCGTACTCAAATTCTTCCATGGTGTGTCTTTTTTCACTAAATTACTCCTTAAACTAAACTTAAAATTAATTAAATCTAGAGTACTACCCTAAATTAAACTACAGCTTAGTAGGAATAAACAGATATGTCACATACTCGACGACGGAGAGGGGCTTTCGTGGACACCATTTTAGGGTTAGGGAGGGGAGAATTTGTGACGTACGTCGCGATTCTAAACCAATCACGTTCGAGAACTACCACGTTCCCCTACAAAACTACCATACCAAAATTTTAAGAAAAAAAACTTTCCGGTTAGCTAAATAAACTCAAACTTACCTATTTTGAAGCAACTAATAATTTAACTTGAAACACATTTGTGGCTATTTACTTGGAAGAAAAAATTCAATTTTTGCCTAGGCAACCCTGGAAATACTGTTTTATCGGTTGCCTAAAATTGTACCTAAAATAACCGGTAGCACTAGCGTCATCTATACTTCAAAAAAACAAATTTTGAGTCATAGCGTTTTTGTTTACTTGAAATGCTCACTCAATATACCCTAGCTATTCTATTTCAAATTCAGTGCAAATTATCTATACTATGGGTTCGGCATGCTCACTCCGTGCACTCGAGTACTCCGTAGTGGCAATCTAACCGAATTGAATAAATTTAGTTCACTCTAAAAGTTTAAAACTGATGGCGGCTTCGACTGGATTGCACAGTTTTTGTTCGAATGCTCTCGGGGCGAGCATCCTTGCCTTGTCCTACACTGAGGCGAAATCGGACAAGAAAATCGAAAAACCGAGCTGGTTCGATCGGCGCTCATTTATCAGTTTCAGATTTCACTCCATAATCGGAAACGAGATTAATTCCTAAAATCCCAAATCAGCTGAGAGTAAACTATCCAAGCTTAGATCATAGTTTCCGAAAGGCCCTAATATTGTCAATTTCATGTCGAAGGCGAACATTTCCACCAGCTCAAGGCGATATTCGAAACCAAGGAGAATACACAATCTAAGGAGTGCTTATCGGCCTCGTTTTTGGTAATCGCCGTCATGTTGGTTTTCAACCATTGCCGACGTCATATCGAAGTCGTCAACTATTTAAAGAGTCTACGTCAAGGCGAGAAACGCCATGCTGCCAAGTTATTTTAACTCTGTTCCAACCGACATGAGATGAGAACCGTTCTAGAACGGTAATTTCCAGTAATAGATGGGCAACTGGAAATTGGTTTGAACAGAGCTTTTGGTTTCACTCAGAACGCAGAACTAGTTCGGAATCATTCTGCACATGCGCATGTCATAAAATGTGCGATTTTTCAGAATCATAATCATACTTTGTTGAAAGCGTTTTGGTTTATTTAGAACTATATAAGAACAATTCTGGGATTGCTCTAGAATGGCTCTTCTAGTTTTTGCTCTCATGAAGGAATTGTTTTGGAATTTTGTGATTTCCGGCTTGTTTTATCGTGTATTTCATTGGTAGGGCAAGTGCAACACTGGTGCAATATTCGTGATCCATTGGCAGAGTCGCGCTGCACTTTTGTATTTCATTGGGAGAGCAATGCATCGAGTTTTGCACCGAGTGCTGCTAGTGCGCCACCGGCTAAAAAGCTCGTGTCGCACTCAGTGCAGTTGTTTATTGTTATTTTTGAAATTGAGGTTCTTGGTGGTTGATGATTTTTCATAAAAAAAACAGTCCTAAATAGTATTTTTTTATTGTGTTTTTTATATTTGTCTGCGAATCTACTACCAAAAATGTCAAAAATCGCGTGTTGAAGGCAATTGCCTTGATGGAAAGTAGCAGCAGCAGTGAAACCAGTGAATATGAAGAATATTTAGGGCTTTTAGCAGAGAGGCAAGAACTTTTTTTTAAATTAAATTATAATAATTATTTATAATAAGCACAAGTATAATTTTTTTTAATGAAATTCTATATTTGAGGTTTGACGTATATGGGACGGTGCAGTACGATGATGATGATGTTTCATTGGGACTGCACGAGAGCAGTTTTTTTAAAGTGTCATGCAAAACTATCGGAAAGTATGATTCGATTAATGGGTTCGATCGGATTAGTAGTCATGATTGATTGAAAATAATCCGAAGTCGAGTACTCGCGTTCGGAAAGTAATCTTGTTAACTCGGATTTCTCATCTGTTTGTTATTTCGTTAACCCTGCTCTTGACGTGAACGGTAGAAAATTAGTCCTCATAATCGCGAATTGAGAATTTTTTTCCTGCGGAATTGGTCCAAATTATTTGAAATTATAATGGCGGGAAAATCTCGCGAATGTTTTCAACTTCTTGCGGCGTCACAAAAAAGTTAAAATAATATACATTTTTAGCTGAGTTCGGCTTGGCAAAACCGAGTTGGAGCGGATGAAGAGCAGTTTCATAGTCATGTAATCACAGAGTGAAAAGAGTAAAATGGTCCAACGCATCCGGAGCAAGGTGAGTCGCAATCCGCGAATGGCGCAGGCACTTAGCCCCATCACAAACCGGATCATGTGTTTTTGCAGATATTTTGGGGAGCGATGCCATTTTTTCTACCGAACCAACCAAACCCTAAGTAAAAAATATCTTCTTTGAACTCTTTAGGTTAGGATCGTTAGGATAGTGATTATTGACACGTTGAATACGACCGGCCACTATAATGGCCACAAAATGTTGTAAAAATGTACCGCGGCCACAATAGTGGCCGGTATTTTAAAGTTTTTTCAACGAGTATTGAATTGCCGCGGTACAAAATAGAAGGTTTTATTTAGTTGTGTGGTACACAGAGAAGGTTTGGCAAAATGCCCCCACCCACCATGGCCACTATATTGGCCATGTAGTACCTACATTAGTCGTTTATTTTCACTTGTGCTGAATAAGTGTCTTGTTCGATTTAGGCAGCTTCTGTGCATTCTGGAATGGCAAACTGCTTCACATAACTTCAAAGAAATGGATTATCCGAGGGATCATCAAAATATTTAAAGCAAATAGAAATTCGGAAAAACTGCAAAAACTGCAATGCATCCTGATCCGAATTCGTTTCATTACCTAGAACAACGCTAGAACCAATCCCGAAAAAAAACACAAAATTCAACGCCCTCAAAACAGTGTCAACTGAGGGGCCAACAAGGTTCCAGAAATAATAAGATAACAAAAAGGACCAGATACCAATGCCCAAAGTGCGATGCAAGTCCAAGTTTATAAATTCATCCGTGTTTCAAGATATGGTACACAAAATAAAGTTAAAAATATGATTTCTGCTCAAAGTTTTCTTTGTATTTCCTTAAAAATATATTTTTTTCCAAAAATTCTTAGTCTATTCATGGCCATTATAGTGGCCATATTGGTACATCAGGCTTAATTTTTTTCAAAATAGACCAGTGGCCACTATAGTGGCTCAAGGTCAGAGCTGTCAAAGTCATATTAAGAACTCCTATTAGTCATTTCTGTCTTAGTTTCATATCAATATGTCAATCCGTTTGCAAGTTATCCACTGCGGTACAGCAGTAAAGAACTGGTTAAAGCATTGTTGGTACTCAACGTGTTAAGAACTTAAATTTTACCGCCATTTGGAAATATAGGAAGTGCGCATGCCCGCTCCTCGAGTTTCAGCTCACGAGGCTTGTGGAGTTTACTCCTTCCACTCTACTTGGCTGTAGCTGAACGATTAGGAGCTTGCACTATTTGCTCCCAGTGGCCTGACCCGAACGATTTTGCGGTGAAAAGTGTCAAAGGAGTCAAAAGAGTTGCCAAGCCGAACTCACCTTTTGACGAATAATCTGGGAAGAATTGAGGTTATGATACGGTTAGGCTCGCGGTCATAAGTCCAACGCAAAAGAGAACACTCTGAAAGCTAAAACGAACAGGATCTTATCGTTCCGAGCGCGCTCAGAGTTTACAGAGTGTAAAGCCGAACTCAGCCTTGGTTAACTACGGAACGTCGCCCTAAACTGACCGTGCGTTCGGTTTGATCTGAGTTCTCCGAATTTCCGATTTTAACCGTTTGTTTATTTAAAAAGTGTACTCGGTACAGGCTCATTCGCGTTCGTTTATACTCGGATACAGCGTTCAACTGCTCTGTTCGCTCGTGATCACGTGATTACGGTTCCGCTCAGCACGCTTTACTCTTTGAGCAAAATATTAGGCAGGCAGCAAATATCAAGTCAAGTTCCCCAAAATTTTGTAGAGGGCGCGAGTGAACTTGGAGTGCTTTTAATTTTGGCGGTAAATGTCAATAGTTTTGAACCGTTTCAATGAGTAGAAGAAAAGATTACTACATATGAACAATGAACAGTGAATAAGTTGAAATATCTTCCAAAACGTTCAGTGGCCCTTTTAAAAGAATACTTCCAAAAGTGTTAGCGTCAGCCAAAGCTGGGCGTAACGACAAAAAAAAGTTACTTTACTTTAACGAGTTACTGAAAGTAACGCGTTACTTGGTAACTTCGTTACTTTTCAGATGGATTGATAAGTAATTGTAACGACGTTACTTTCCTGAAGTAACGCTGAAAGTAACGCGTTACTTATAGTTACTATGAAAGTAACTCGTTCTCTCAATCTGTTTATCTTCTTTACAAATAATTGACAAGTGAGGAAAAGGAAAATAAGTAATCCAAAAACTTTGTATGTCAAATAAAATGTTGGTAGTACAGAAAATTTGTTTGAAAGCTCAAAATAATCGTTTTTGGGCGTGCCACGCGCCGCCTGTGCTTTAAAGACACTATATGCAGACACTGGGACGCTTCAAAGAGCAGGTTTGTCGAAAACCAAGTGCTCTATTCAGTCGCTTAATCCCTAATCCGCTTGAATTTTGCAAGAATACTCTTCCACATAGTCGAACTCACAAACTTAAAACATATTGGCATTTCGTATAGGTCTTATTTGATTGTTTGGACTGCTGTGTTGGTGAGTCAAATTAAGGAATAACGCAATTTTCGACGTAAATAGTTATTTTTGAAGTAACGCGTTACTTTAAAAGTAACGAACTACTTTTAAAGTAAAGAAGTTACTTTCAAAGTAAAGAAATTACAGTAACGCGTTACTTTCCAATAAGTAACGAAAATAAAGTTATCATTATTCGAAAGTAACTGTAAATTTTAAGTAACGAGTTATTTTTAAGCAAAAGTAACTGTAAAGTAACGCGTTACTTTTTTCAAGCAACGAATATCCCAGCTCTGGCGTCAGCTCGTCTTGAAACCACACATCAAACTTGACTTTTGAGGTTAAAATTACATTGGATTATTTACGCGCCAAAATTAAAAGAGCTCCAAGTACAGAAGCGCCCTCTTCAACTCAACTGTCAATATAACATGCCATTGTGTCATACTCCCCTAGCTCCTTCCCATCCTACCCAATTCTAGGCCTGCGAGTGACGTCACTATCAGCAGCTTATAGTGATGGCGTCACCCGCAGACCTCGATGGAATGCTTGCGATCAGGCGTGCTAGACCAGCCGCTTTCCAGTGACGAATTTTAAGGTGCTTCACACCCGTAGCTTCACACGCTGGTGCTCCAAACAACTGTTGTGTCACTGGAACACACCCTATAAACGTCGTGTTTTTGATGCTACCATAAAATTATAGGTGCTTGAGAGGGTAGGGAAGAGGAAAAACGAACAGTTCAGTTGCGCGAAATTCTAATGCACTGGAACGCCTATGAACAGTCCGGGGCGCTCCAGAGCAGCTCAAGAGTGCTTACAGACGACATATGATACCTGTCACCTGTCACTCATGAATCATGATGGTCCAGTGTTGATTTTTTCATCAAATAAATAAGCAATAATTATAAAAGTGAAATCAAATAATTAAAATATATAATTCACTGAATTTGCTTACAACCTAAATTAAATCCATTCAAAACTACAGAAAAATGTCGTCAGACGCAATACAAGTGAGTTCCTTGCCGCTCCCTCCATTGCAATATGTAAACCAGTACACAGATGAACTTATCAGAAGGGGCAGAGCCCCGAAACCACCTCCTCCTATTCAGGACACTTATCACATGTTTGGAAACACGTTCAACACTGAAGAAAGTATTATAAGGCCTCTGGAAAGTCAGGTGAGAATTGAATCTCTAGTATAAATCAGAAACCAAAATAACTATTTTTAGGGAATCAAAAGACTTTACCCACAACACTTCGACAGACGCAGAGAATTGAAAAAACTTAACCAATCTCTCCTAGCAAATTTCCTCGATCTTCTAGATTTACTAGTAAATTGTCCAGACTCGCCAAAAAGAACTGAAAAAGTAGAAGACTTGAGCCTGCTTTTCATTCACATTCATCATTTACTAAACGAATTTCGTCCTCATCAAGCAAGAGAAACTTTGCGAGTCATGATGGAATTGCAGAAAAGACAAAGAATAGAGACTGCCAACAGGTTCCAAAAACATCTGGACAGGGTTATGGAAATTCTACAGCAAGCCATTCAAAATTTGCCAGAGCCCATGGAATTGGACTCGAAACTTATGGTTGAGACCGATTTGATGGTCAAGCAAGACAAAATGGATAAAAACGATGCCAACAGTGATCCATGTGATATTAAAGACAGAATTATGTGCAGTATTGTTGATAATATGTAAGGGATTTTGTATTTGAATAAATTATAATAATTAAGAAATAAATATTTATCTACTTAATATATTTCATTATTAATTAAACAGGAATCTTAACTTGCAATAATATCTTTTTCATTGGATGCAGATACATGAACTTCATTCTCCTTTAGTTTATCTTCATTTTCCTTCTGATCCAATAATTGATCTTCACTTTTCTCCATTTGATCTATATTCTTCTCTAACTGACTTTCATTATTCTCTATATGAGTTCCATTGTTTAATAAATGATCTTCAGCTTCTGTTTGTTCTGAATCAGCCTTTTGGTTTTGCTTTAACAAATCTTTAATTTCATTATACTCATCAAACAAATCAATTTGATAATTAGTTACAATTTTTTTGGGTGATTTTTGAATTACAGAATTTAAACATTTTATCACAGCCATTTCATTGTTCAATGCATTGTTCTTTATTTTATAAGATTGTTTTAAAGGGTTGAAACATCTTAAGCAAGCCACAGGGTCTATGGCCATTGATAAATCCTAAAAAGAATCTGTTGGCAATATTATTTTAAACGAAAAAAAAAAACTTACAATTCTTGGTAATAGAGTATTTATAATGTAAGCACGTGCAGAACCAGTTTCCTCTGAAATATCCACCACATCATCCTCATTATAAATCAAATTTAAACAAAGCCTGCATACATTCACAGGCAATCTTTTGTGTGGAACCAAATTGGTGCGAAGCTTAAGTTTAATATTTGGCTGATATTTATATCTGATATAATTGATAGCATCATTAGGTAGCTGCAAAAATAGTCTTAAAACTGCTACAATTAACAAGATTTAAATTATTACATCGAAATGATCTTCGCAACAATGCAATATCGCCGTATTAGGATTGACCAATTTACCGATTCGTAATTTGTTTCTGGAAGCCAAGTTGGCTCCCATACGAAAAAATTGTTTTTTAGAGTTGCCACCTTCTGTGTTGGGACAGTGCGGCACGCAGCAACGTTTGTTTTTGATTGGAGCCATTCGGAATTGAATTAACTTTTCTTATGTTAGTACAACAACCTGTTATTGGTACACAAAATAAATAATATGAAGAAAAGAAAATAAATAAAAAGTAAATAAACAAATCAGGTGGCTTATCGAGGCGATATATCGATATATGCATCGATACACCTTCGATGATGGTCCATATCGATATGATTTTGTCATAATCGATATCTATCGATCTTTTTGGGCAACAAAAAACGAAAATTCAACAGCAGTGGCGGCGATATGCATAGGCGGATATAAGCGATGCTTAGGGCTCCGGGCACCCTTTAAGTACAAAATAGTATATTGTTGTATTAGGAGTAGAAGCTTTACTTTTTTGTGCTGAAGCACAAAAAAGTGCTTCTACTCCGTATCAGTGATGTGCCTGTAGACCAATGTCAACGTAAACAATTGATTGTCTACGCGTAGACAATTCGAATTGTTTACGTGAGCATTTGTCTACATGCGGCGTAAACAATAACTTATTTTAAAAAATTCGAAAAAAAATATCAAAAGTTACTATACTATCACTATCACTTCGATATCAGCATTCACTGATTATAAAATATCAGGAAAACCAATAATAAAATAAAAAAAAATTAAAAAAAGGAAAGTGTGAGGTTAGAATTAAACGTCATTTATATTATTTTACATTGTTGACACGTTGTCTACATTGTCTACATGTCTACATTGTCTACACGTAAAGTAGACAATGAAAGTCTACGTGTAGACGCACATTCCTGCTCCGTATGCAGCACGCTATTTTTTCTCCAAACGAATAGAGTAACCTCGAGGGTAACTGAATGTTTTAACGGCAGTAAAAGTACGAGCGCCACTAAAAGTACTTTTGCTGCCGCTCCAGCGGCACTAAAAGTACTTCTACTGCCCAGAGGGCCGCCGAGAGCCGTGTCGGGCCCCGGTAAAAAAAAAATAACGGGTCCCCCCTCTTTTTTTTTTAGGTCTTTATAATGACAAAATTTTTCCATTTATAAGCTCTGTCCCAACAGACATGAGAACCGTTCCAGAACCAGTTATTTCCAGTTGCGCACCTATTTTTCAATAAGTTGAACGTTTATCTTAATTGACAAATGAATTGATTGACTGTAAATTACTTTTCTCATAGAAAATCGAAATCGCTGTCTCATAATGCTGGCAGCAGATGGATCCATTGTTGAATAAAAGAAAGCGCCCAGAGCTATAATAACTATGATGAACCCGGGCCTCACTCCTCCTGTCAGGCCTGAAACATGCTCGAATTATTTATTAGGTTTTGTGGAGCCGGTTTTCATGTTCATTTTGCCTTTTTGATTCAATGAAGGTATAAAAACCAGTGTCTCATAGTTTATTACAGAAAAACAACTATGCAAATATAACAAGCAACTCGAGCATTCAGAGCCAGGGAATCCCCCAGAGACAAAAGACGTAAATACGAAACATGCGTGCGGCAGGGTTATTGCCGTTGTTGATTATAGCAAAATTTACCTATTTAGGAATGCTTGCCTGCGTTGTTGTAATTTTTGTATGTTATTGTAGTATGACATAAACTAGAATTTGGGTATTAATTCACTATTAAAAATAGTAAATTGCTGTTTGAATACCTCCGAACACCAAAAAGGGTGAAACATTGAAACATGCAAGTAGCGAAAGTGAAAGTAACTACTAGCATGTTTCACTTTCGTTTTCGCTTGCCTATGCAAGGCAAAAAAATCTACAGGGTGAGTTATTAAGCGCGCGGTGGTCCATATTTCCTATATTAACGGAGATCGAAGAAAAAACTAAATATAAAACTTGTAGATAAACATGAGTACCGTAAAACCTTACAACTTTCCCCAGGAAATTTTTGTTTTTCACTACTATATTTTTGGGAGATTTTTATTTGAAAATTTCGATGCTACCAAAAGTTTTGTTTTAGCGTCACTAATCGTTCGTCAAAGTGTAGTTTGGCTAACTTCTAAAGAAATACCCGAAAAATAAATAAAAAGGGGGTGGGCAAAGTTGTAAGCAAAAATTTCAACTTTGCCCACTGATCAAAAATTGCCGAAAAGCAAAGTTAACGCCTTTAATAACCAACTTTGCCCATCGATAATGTTTTTAAAAAGGTTTCTGCATGCATGGCAGTTGAAAAAAACGAACGAATATGCTTTTAAATAGTTTTTTTTTTATTGGAAAATAGGAACAAATCCCTTCTATAAAAAAATGCTTTTTTTGAGGCTTTCATTAAAAAAATGTCGTCAAGGCTCTTCGACTTCTTCAATGTTTTGCTCCTTAACGTTTTTCGTCTTTTTCATTTTCTACATTATTCAGATCCTCAAATCTGACCGATTCCTCAGGTTTTATTTTATTTTTTATATTATTATTATTTTCGAAATTTCCCATAGGTAAGCTTACTTCTTATGGTCTTTTATAGTGCAAAAGTTATCGAGTGCACACCGTGCACCTAGGATGAATTTTTGTTGTCTGATGGTTATTGACGTCACAACTTGGAATTTCTGATTTACTACGTCATAGCTCGGAATTTCTGATTTACTACGTCATAACTCGGAAATGCTCATTTATTGCTAGTTTGGTGATAATTAAAAATATAGCAGTAGGTACGAGTATACATATAATAATCATATCGTATCCTCTCATTCTGACATGACATTGGAACCCATAGTCTATTGCGCTCGCACTCCCATCGAACATCATTACTTTCACTAACTACATATACTCCTCTGGTCTGGCAGACACTCGCAACCGTCAGAATAGGCTGGCTGTTTACGTATAGGTATATACCTACTTTTTAAATCAATAAAAGTGGCTCTCCTACTACTAGTTATAGGTATCTTCTAATATTTTTTGTCTGTGAATCTGTGAGTGTGAGAACTGATTCAGGGACAGAAAATAATTATGTGTGCTGCTCTAAATGGTTGCTCTATCACAAAACTATTTTTGATATTTTCACCCCGATACACTCGCACGCCAATAAAGCTCTATACAAGGTAAGAGCATATTTAATTGAAGAATTGAATGTTGATGGTCTCAAATGAGACGGTTTGGTAAAAATTGGTGGATCGATTATTTTAAAGATCTGAGAGACAGAAGACACAAGCCTCTAAAATGATGGTTATCTGCTTCATGTAGTGTAGAATGTTTAAAGGTTTTGCTATGGAGTTGTTATTTTGTTAAAAATTAAATGCAAATAAAAACAATCGAACCAGAAACCTAAGTTTTAGGTTAACATTTAATCTCGTAGTAAATGAGAAATTCCGAGTTATGACGTCAGACGTCAGAACTATGAACTAAGAACTCGGAAGACAGATTGCAAGACCGGGCTTCCGTGATATATTCCGTAAACAGGATTCAAGCAAGCCACACGGCACACATGCGGATAATGCTTGGTTTGTGTCAATCTTTCGTCGGCTGCAGGTCAACTGTCATTGTCATTGGCTGCCTTTCTCCGTCCCTCTACGTTAAATTTTTCTTCTCTCTTGTGTAACGAAATTTGCCAAAACATGACGCGTCTTTCAAATCACTCTCCAAGTCTCCATTCTTGTCCATGCAGCTATCAGACCCTAAGGGGCCTCACACACTACGTTCTTTCTCGTCGGTTTTCATCGCCGCGATGAAACACGACGATCTAAAATCGAAGTGTGTGGTAGGAAACCGTCGTGTTTCATTGTCGGTTTAAAATTCAGTCCGAGCTTGATTTTTGGCACGACGGTTCAACATTTCGTTCCAAAACCGTTGTATGTAGGTCCAACTGCTAAAAAATCGCGGATCAGGCCTCCGCCGTTTCACTTTAAAGCATTTTTATTTATAAAAAAATACCTTTTTCTCCAAACGTCAAAAAAACGTCACTTTGTCAACACCTATCAAGATGTCAGAAATTTAATTTCTATCCTGCTAGGCAAATCCAGCAGGTTAACACCTGTCGAGGTGGTAGAAATTTAATTTCGGCGCAGCGGCAGTAAAAGTACTTTTAGTGCCGCAGAAATAGTTATTTGTGTACCAAGGTCGTAAAGTTGATCTTTTTTGGCCGAATCAGAAATTTGCGGCCGAGGCGCAGCCGAGCTCAATGTAAGATACCAGGCGAAAAAGTCGACAGTTTTCTATAATCACACTCTCTTTATCGTAGTTTTTGTTATAAATAATTGTGTATCTACCGATCTTTGCTGGATTATTTATTTGATCAATAAAGTTTAAAGCTACCTACTGTTGAATTTTCTTTTTTTTTTTTCAAGAACAAACACTCGCCTAAAAAATGTTGTGTGCACCGCGGCCGAATGATCTTTTTTGGCCGAATCAGAAATTTGCAGCCGAGGCGCAGCCGAGGCCAAGCAAGTTTCAGGTGAGGCAACTTTACGGCCTTGGTACACAAATAACTACAGTGGCTAAATAAACCTTTACATACAGTGGCGACAATAGAGGTCCCGCCGCCATCTTGTTCCCAACCTCTTGTTGCTTTTAAATAATAATATATAGGATTTAAATGGACATCTATCATAAAAAATTGAAATCGACGTATTTGATGACCAGTATTAGGTTCATCAAATACGTTGTTTTTCATGATTTATGATGGATGTTCACCTAAATCCCATATATTCATATTTAAAAGTAACATAAGGTTGGGAACAAGATGGCGGCGTTTTCAATATAAATATATGGGATTTTAGAACCAATCAAAAATAAGACAGCAATTGTCGCCACTGTGGTAATAGAGTCACTGTACAAATAACTATTTTTGTACGCTCACGGAACGCGCGGACAAAAAAGTAACCAAAAAAATGACGTCTGTGAAGTCAAACTTCAACATTAAGAATTGAGGTTAAAAAAGAAGTCATTTTTTGACGTTTGCGGAAATAGTTATTTACCTAACAAGTGCGGAAAGTGGTCCTTTACCGCACGCGACGGCTGTTGCACGAACGACGCGAAGCGGAGTTCGGGCAAGCGGAGTTCGGGCAAGCGGGCAAGCTGTCGAGTGCGGTAAAGTCACTTTTCGCACGTGTTAGGTACAAAATTTTTCCTTCGGAGCACATAATTTTTGGAATTAAAATCTAATTGGAAGAAAAAATGCATAAAAAATAGCAAACATTGATTGTTAAAAACAATAAATGTTTCTATTTCATGCATTACGGCAATTACGCGAAGGCGAATGCATTAATTGCATGTTTTTAAAAAATTTTGATACAGTGCGGTAAAGGATTTTTACCGCACTCAGTGCGGTAAAGAATCTTTACAAATTTTTATGACAAGAATTTGGTTAAAAGTCTGTCTTGGTGGCATTTGTCAAATCTGCTACGTTGCATTTTGTTTTTCCCATAGCAACAAATCAATATTATAATTTGCGTCTATAGATACCACATGGAAAGCACAGAACATATCACCTCTAGAAAAGTATCTGCAATGGTATGTACCGGTTATGAATTACGGCGCCCTCGTTGACTGAAAACCCAACTAATCGAGTATTCTTGACAAAAAGGCGAATTGATTTTTTCCATATATTTTTATTATTTTTGTATAATTTTTAATGTTCAACTGCATTTGGCTTGCTGACTCCTCTTAGCTCTTTTCGCCTCATTTTTTAAAAACTATGACTGGCAGGAAGTTTCCAATGTCGAACATAGTGCAAAAAGAGTTAGTAAGTTAGCAAGAGACACGCAGTTATAGGTAGATCACAAAGTAAATACGAATAATAAATACAAATACGAACGAAACGAAACAAACGAATAAATACAAAAAAATACGAACAAAAATTAGGTTTTTTTTCAACCAAAACATTTTGAATTTTCACTTTAACGCGCGTGGAAACCGTGGGGTACAACAACACAATTTAAAAATTCAAAATTTGACTTTTAAAATGACAAAATAAATGACAAAACCAACCAACACAAATCACTGTCCACACCACAGATACCTATAAATTTATCTTATCTCCCGACAGTGTCGCCATCGTTGAATGAAAACCTAACTAAAAACCTTTGTCGCGATTCTTCCATTTGAGATATTTTTCTATAGGTGATATGTTCTGTGATGGAAAGTTCAAATAGGTTCGTGTTTTGTGGTTCAAATTTTCCATTTTTCGGTATAACATAAATTCTTGAGAGATGGAGACCTTCGATGAAGAAATATTCGAAGCATCGAATGCAGCAGTCGGCTCGTTGATTCCACAAAAATCCCACGACCGGCACAATAAAGAATATGAACAATGGAACTTTCTCATTTTACCTGTGCTGCGCGCGCCGCTTGTAGGTGACAGATAATAAAATTGTCAATTAGGCATTCGGGGATTCTAAAATCACGATTCGACATACGACTCGACATCGAGACGATTTTTCCGACGATTCTAGGTTAGAAATCTCATTGGAATTATACCTTTCGAGACGACAAGGCCGGTATCGTTGTCGAGTCGTCTGTCGAATCGTGATTTTAGAATCTCGGCCCAGGTTAATGTCATAACCGATCCGCCATATTAGTTTGGGGGGCACACAAAAGCCAAACATAACCTGATTCAATGTTAAACCAAGAATTTTCAATCTATTTTGTGAAGATGCCTTCTATTTGCTGCGTTGTTAGGTGCTCTAGTAGAGCGGAAAGAGATAAAGAAAGGTTTTTCAGGATCCCAGCAGCATTAAGAGATCTAGGGAATCGTCTAAACGAGCTAAAAAAGGAACGACGAAATCTGTGGATTAACCTTGCGTTCGGTATTTTGGTCTGAGTTCTCCGAGCTTGACTTTACCGTTCGTTTATTTAAAAAGTGTACTCGGTGCAGCCTCATTCGCGTTCGTTTATTAAAATTTCCGGTACTTTTATACAGCGTTTAACTGCTCCCTTCGCTCGCTGGTCACGTGATTACGGCTCCGCTCAGCTCGCTCTACACTTTGAGCAAAATACCGAACGCAAGGTAAATGCCTCAAAAGGAGAGATTTAACTGAATCGTTTCTGAAAAATGCTCGTATTTGTTCAAAACATTTTGTTAATGGTAAGTATTATGACTGTCTTGTTAAAATACAAAAACACATTTATATTGAAAAATTGGTTTGTTTCTACAAGTAATATTTACTTTTAATACCTTTTAGGTAGTCCAGCAGAACTTGAATAACCCTTTATATACGCCTTCAACTGCAATAAGCCTGTGTAGTAACTGTGGGTGTGGGTCAAATATTCGGATAAATCCAAAATTGAAACCTCTGGCAACTCATTGATACTTAAAGTAAACTCATTAGGTAGAAGTTTATAAGGATCTATATTGGCAATTATTTGTATTTTTTGGTCATACCGACATTTCACATCACTAGCTAACGATGAATAATAGTCAATGCCATTCTACCACAAAAACAACTTAAAACTTATTGAGAGAATTTAAGAACGCAAAAATTCGGAAACACAATCTCAAAGAACGGTGTAAATACTGATCTAGGCTTTGTTTGCCCACCAGCGGACCTGTCAAAAGTCACGTGACCTGGAATGCCTAATTGAATGAACGCGGTCTGATGCTGACTTTCTTTAAGCTAACCTCAATTATCAATCAATATTGCTGAAAATTATTACAAAAACTGTTTATTATACCATGGTTCAAATGTGTTGTGTATGATCTTGTCAGAGTAGTGAGGCGGAAAAAAAGTCAAATCTTTCTTTTCACAAGTTCTCAAGCAATCAAAATGTAAGAAAACAATGGTTACGTGATCTCAACCTGACTGAAGACGATTAAAGTTGGAACAGAGATTTGAGGGTTCGTAAAATAACGATTTCTATATCAAATACAATGATAATTGTACAATTAAAGGTTTGCTAGCACTTGCAAATTCGTACTGCTCAAACTTGTCATTCCACACAGGTATCGCGCGTCATTATATGTGTCTCTTTCTCTTTCTTTATTGCAGAAATCCTAATAAACTATCCTTATTGTTCATCACATGAAAAAGGTCCATACAAACGTTTTTTTAAAAGAGTGCGGTAAAGAATTTTTACAGCACTGAGTGCGGTAAAGAACTTTTACCGCACTGAGTGCGGTAAAGTACTACCTACGGCACGCAAACGAGTGCGGTAAAGTGTCCTTTACCGCACGCGAGTAGGAAAAAGATATATACAAATATTTTCAATATATCCAAAAATCGAATACTCCACCTGTGTACTCCACCACAGTACTCCACTGACATAAAATAAACTAGCGGGATCGATACGATATATCGATATTTTCATCACTACACTTTCTGATAGGTACATATCGATAAGTCTCGAATTTTGACAGAATGTAGCGCTACCTGTACGTAGAAATATCAACCAGTTATCAAAATAAAAAAACAACAATCTAAAAACTCTCAAAAATCACTTTTTTTTTTCGAAAAAATGAACGAACTTAAAGATGCAATACGAAATATGGACATATGCAGATTTTGCCTGAATCTGACTGTGTCCAAAATCAATCTTTCCACCGACGATTTTGCCAAAATGGTCGAGATACTAACATCAATCAAGGTAAGATAAAAGCTTAAAATTATGCTAAACTTTCAACAAAACATATATTTCAGATCAAACCTGATGATGGCCTTTCGCAAATCTCTTGCTTAAAATGCGCCAGAGAAGTAAAGACAGCTTTTTTAATCAGAAGACGTATTATACAATCCCACAGGACACTTACCAGCAAAATAAATCCTGAAACTCTAAACACTTTATTCACTCCAAGTCAACAATTGGAAAGTATCATTATTGAAACTGAATCTGCTGAAGATGCTGAAAGTTCTCCTGAACTAGAACACTGCCCAGTAGAAGTAAAATTGGAAGAACCAACTTCAAGTAACAATAATTTCAGCCTGGCTATTATCAATGAAGGCATGAATGAAAAAATCCAGAAATTGAAACTGTCACTGAACAACAAATATTTGAACAAACAAAAAACATTATTGAGCATCAAGAGAAGGAATATTCTCAAGGTGCCCGTTGGGCCAAAACCAAAAAAGCCAGAACCCCCAAAATTGTATTGCCAAACGTGTCAAATCAAATTTGCCAGTCGAATGAAATACAACAACCACATGAGTAAGCACAGAAATAAGGCTTGTCCAGTTTGCGCTAAGCAAGTGCGAAGTGCTTACTTGAAAAAACACATGCTGGTACACATAGAAGCCCCAGTTATATGCGAAGTGTGCGGTGTCACATGCAAAAACTCCATAAGCCTGAGAATGCACTTTGTCTATTATCACAATTCAGCACAAATTATTTGCGAGGATTGTGGCAAGTCTTTCAAAACCAAAACGAAACTGATGTATCATCAAAGGAAGGATCACATCAAGGAAAGAAATCACAAGTGCGAGACTTGCGGCAAGTGCTTCTTTGAGAAAATCTATCTCACAAAACACATCAACATGAAACACATGAAGCTGCGGCCTCATATTTGCGAATATTGCGGTAAAGGATTTTCTGGCAAACACGCTTTGCGCACCCACATAAGACAGCACACAAAGGAGGCCCCATACCAATGCACTTTTTGCAAGGAAGGATTCAGGCAGAGGGTCTCTTTGAGGGCGCACCTGAGAAGTCGTCATAATGTCCAAGAGAAAAATGATAAGTTTTGTGATGTCTGTGGTAAAGGGTTTGCAACTGCCATGGCTTTGGATGTTCATGCCAGACTGCATGCTGAAATCAAGTGTCCTCATTGTCCTGACACATTTGCTGATGAAACTTATTTAGGTTTTCACTTGTCTAGTAAACATCCTGAAGTTGACCTGAGCGAAACTTTAGTAAATTGGGAAGAATTTGGATCCTGAATTTATTTTGTTGGGGAGACTTTTTTCAAATAGCATTTATTTATTTCTAGTTGATTATTTTTTATTACCTATTTAATCAAAAATATATAATTCTGTATTCCAAATGATTATGTTCTAACAATCTAGTAAGGTTTAACCATAGAGGTTCTCATTGAGGAAGTTCCTTACTAAAGATTATAGTTCTAACTTCTATATCCTATTAACAATCCGTTGTCCAAAGGTAAAGGTAAATGCTTGGTAAATGTATCACCTTTCCCTATCAAATAGCACTGAAAGGGGATAAATTTTGCCTTTACCCTAGGATATCGGATTGTGAATAGATAAGGTCTGTTTCTGCAGAAATCACAAACCAGTCAGCGTGAATTTCAGTTCAATGTAGTTTTCTGACTGTTTTCAACCAATGAAATTCGCTCTGACTGGTTTGTGATTTCTGCAGAAACAGACCTAAAAACTACATAGCCACATTCCAGTAAATTATTGTAGATGGCGCTGCGAGACACGAGCACTTACAGTGACTCTATAACCACAATAGAGCAGCTCCGAGTTCACCAATATAACCTCAACTAACTTCACTTCTAAAAAATCAGCTGTTTGACTTCCCATAATTCCCAAAGAAAACGTCAACAATAGTCAACTTTCAAATTTTGATAAATTTTATAAATAAATAAAGAAAATACGAAAACATTAAAGAAAAAAATGGAAACAGACAATAGTGAAAATACGGAAAATCTTCTCCTTTACAAATGCAGGTTGTGCCTCGACCCTACATCAAAAAAAGTCGACATATTCAGACATGATTTCCCAAAAATGATTGAAATATTGTCTGGCTTGAAGGTAACCTATTTTATTCTAAAGTTTTCGAACATACAACATACTCTAGTTCAGGAATTAATAATTCATATAAAAAATATAGCCCTCCTAAACTTCAAACAAATTAATTCATGAAATTTGTCCTGTTGGGATACAGAATTTCAAGTCTTATGTATCAAAAATCCCTATTAGTCATCCTATAACATCTGTATACTTTTTTTCAAAAAAAAAAAACACGCGTATTGCTGCGAAATCACGGGCTAGGACTGTGACGTCAGAGTCCCCAAAATGCGAGATTGCCATATTTCTCATAAGTAAATCAATGCGTACTTACATTTATAACTGACATGACTGCGTCGAAATGAAATAATAATTATTGTACTGTGAAGTGGAAACTAAGTATAGTTGTGAGCATAAAAAGTGGGACACCCGGTTTTTCCTATTGTTAAACGAGCTCATCTATACTTACGGCTATGACAGGGATTGTGATATTTGCGAAAAATCCATTGTAAAGAAAACACTGATTTACCTAAAATAGCAAAAAATGACAAGACCTGTCAGTCGGGTGTCCCACTTTTTATGCTCATGACTGTAAAGTCTGTTTTTTTTTTAAAGAGAATTTCATACATCTGTCAAAACTGGTATTCCTACAATAAATTGACAGGTTTTGATTGTTGATTTGAACCAATCAGATTTGAATCACGCGATAATTTGCACTAGTGCAAATTATCAGATAATTGCATAGTAACTGGTGCGAAAGCTGGTGTTTTGACATTTTTTGACAAAAAATTTAAATTTTTGATTTATGAAATTCTCGCATTAAATACAACTCGTGCAATGGAAATATATTTATAATTTTCGACAAATTTGCACTCATGCGTTTTTAACTGAAAAAGGCGCTCGTACTCGTGCTCTTTTTCAACTAAAAATGCATTCGGGCAAATTTCCCAAAAATTATCAATAATTTCCATTGCACTAGTTATATTAGGTACTATTGATAATTCCCCAAGTCAAAAATTTAGTAACTATGTTGGCAACACAAGCCTTTTCTACATAAAAAATTTGAAAGCATTGACAATTTTACATTGTATTGCCAACATAATATCAATAAAAAAAAAAAAGGAATCAGCTGAGACTGAATTTACTTTGGTGCAAAATCGAAAAAGAAGGAACCGTAAAAGCAACCAAAGTTTTGTTTTTGGACTGGCAAATTTTTCAGGGGATGAGAATTTTTCAGGCTCAATTCAGAGGGCTTATTTTTATCTCGGTCGCGTTAAAATGGGTGTAACACCTAATTTTATTGAACAGCATGTTAAAAAGCAATGTCCAGATGTTAGGGACCTTAGGTTGTACCTTTGCCAATTAAAGGGGAAACTATCTCTTTCAAGATAAGCATCCACTCGGATTGCAAGGAAAGTTTTTCACGACCTGATATCTGGCCAAAAGGCGTTGCTTTAAGAAAATTCTGGTGGAGCAATGTACGCAAGTCCGAGAATTTTCGACGGGATCAAATGAATCAGGCCGGTGTATAGCTGGGAATAGTGGTCACACTGATATTCTGATCTATTACAATAATGCTGGTGGTCTTAGAACTAAACTTAGTGAGGTTCGGAAGGATATTGAATGTCGTCACTATGATGTTATAATGCTTGTGGAATCATGGTTAACGGAACATATATATGATACAGAGCTCTGTCCAGCGGGCCGATCCTCGAGCCAGGGAGTAGAGCTCCTCAATAGAACAAATTTTTTGTCCTTATCATTCTCATTTACTTTTCGATTACGTTGACAAAGACAAAACATTCGTTCTATCGGGGAGCTCTTCTCCCTGGCCCGAGGATCGGGCTTCAGGGCAGTTTGATTTGTTTCGTACTGATCGTTCATCAACTGGGGATCCCAGAACTCGGGGGGGGAGGAGTTCTGATTGCTGCCAGGAAGGATTTGCAATGCCAAAGACTAAACATTGATGTTATGACTGTTGAACAGGTTTATGTATATTTTAAAATTAAGTCATCTGAATTTGTATTGGGCTGTATCTACCTGCCACCTAGGTCTGATGTAGGCTTGTTTGTTGATGTTTGTCAATCAATCGAATCAATTTTTAATTTATATCCTAAATGTAACTTATTGCTGGCTGGCGATTTTAATTTACCACAGGTTAAATGGGTTAATAATGAGTTTGGTCTAACCAGTGAGTGTGCGGGCAATTCTCCAGCTAATGATTTAATAGAGTGCCTAAATTATTACAATTTTCGTCAGATAAACACCATCACGAATAGCAGGAATGCTTTGCTTGACTTGGTGTTTTCAAACTTGGGTACTGTTGAGATTGACAGAGCCACCGATATGATTTTGAGTAATAGTGTTCACCATACTGCTATATCTATGGGATTCAGCCATAATGTAGAATGCAAACGTTCTAAATATGAGGAGTGCTTCTTTGATTTTAAAAGTGGCAATTACATTTCATTGAATGAATATTTGGCTAGTGTGAATTGGTGTTTGATGAATGATTTGACCCTTGAGCAGGCTGTTCTATGGTTTTATGAAACATTGTGGGAGGGGATAACTTTATATGTTCCAGTAAAGAAATTCCGAACTTCGAACTTTCCTTTGTGGTTCAACACTGAGCTGCGTAGATTGATCGTTGAAAAGAAGAAGCTACACAAAAAATATAGAGAAACGGGAGATAACTTGGATTATTTGTTGTTCTCTGAATTGAGGGATAGGTGCAAGGATTTAAGGGACTCCTCTTATAGAATGTACCTGCTCAAAACTGAAAATAACATCAATAGGAATCCTAGATCATTTTGGTCACATTTCAACAATCTCAAAAATAACTTTGTCCTTCCCTGAAACATGAGTTATAATGGCTCTACTGGCTGTAGTAATCAAGAAACCGTAGACTTGTTTGCAGACTTCTTTTCAAGTGTGTACTCGAGCCGCACCACTAACCAGGCTCCAGAATACTCATTCTCCAACGTCACTGATGTTTCTGCATACTCTGTTTCTTGTGCTGATATAATAGAACAAGTAAGAAATTCACCTGATAAGTTGTCATGTGGGCCGGATGGAATTCCCTTGCTCTTTATAAAGAAATGCCTGTATACCCTTGCGACGCCCCTGGCAAGTCTCTTCAACCATTCATTGTCAACACGTTCTTACCCAGTTTTGTGGAAGTTCAGCTTTCTGAAACCAATATTTAAAAGTGGGTCAAGAGAAGAGGTCACGAATTACAGGGCTGTTTGCACGCAGTCTGAGATTCCTAAGTTGCTAGATTGTCTCATTACCAGGAAACTTAGCTGGGACTGCAGGTACCTTTTAAATCCGGAACAGCATGGGTTTACGGTGGGTAGGTCAACATCAACAAATTTGGTTTTGTATCAGAATTTTATTTTGAACAGCATGGAGAGGGGATTCCAAGTTGATCCCATTCAGATTAGCCACTTGCTGCGAAGCCCCGCCCCTCCCCCACCACAACCACTCACACATAAATACAACTTGTGGTCGGGAACGCGTCAGTCTGCTACCAGAATCGGACATGGAAGCACCTTTAAAGATGCTGGCCACGCGCGCTAGCGAAACGTCGGGGAGAAATTCCAACTTATGACGGCCATTAAGCCCGAATGAAAACACTCTATCAATAAACCTGGGCCGCGAAAGTCTCACAAACTTTGTTCACATTACGTCGAACTATGTTGTATCCTTGTTTTTTTATTAACAAATTAGACAAAGACAAAGATATTTGTTAAATGTTTTAAAAATAAAACTCATTATTTACTATACTTTGAAAAAATAAAGGAGAACTTCTGTGAAGTCTTGTTACGTAGGCCATGTTGCCAAATCTATCTTAAAATCTGTATCTCTGGATGCAATTAGCAACAAAGATGTATTAATTTTCACAAGCATTAAAAAATCTTGAAAAAATAAGAAAAAAGAAAGTCATAGTGTTAGATTATACATACATATTTGTTACTTGTTACATTATTACATGAAAAGTAATAGGAAAAAAATGTGGCATCCTTTTTAACAGTTAATTAATTGGAAATTTTGAATGACATCTTAATACAGATGGATATGGATACAGCATCTCAAACATAAACTGATGTTTGTTGTGATAATATCAAGACCCCCCATAGGCCAGCCAGGAGTGGTGACTGGTGAGCTGCTCAAGGGGGGTCATGGTGGGGATGCATCAGAGGTGTAAACAAGACCCGCCTTTCCATTTGAACCCGTCATCCACTTAAACAAAATAATGAAGAAATGCACTCTGGTGCAACTCGTTTATCTATCTATCTGCCTCTAACTGCTAATTCACAAAACCGACGTTGCCAGTAGTCGTTTTTGGAAGCTTCAGTTTTTTGAAAGCAAGTCATTAAATCTGTAACATTTTGGCAACCTAATTGGAGGGGTAAACCAGAGGTGGATCGCTTTCCTAGATGTTGATTTTGTGTGTCTGTATTAGGTAACAGGTCTGTTCTCACAGAAAAGTGAATTTCATTGGTGAAAATAGTTAGAAAACTGCGAGGAAAACTGTTTGTTGGTGATTAGCACTAATCAAAAACGCTATGATTTTTTTGTGATTTTTGTGAAAACAGACTTAATATGTCATTAATCGCCAGTGGTCTTTCCTCTATCATTATTCCTAATTTACAGGCACAAATATTGTAGAGTATGAAATTCTGCATCTTTCGCAAATAAAACATTTCATGAAATAATTTGTTTGACCCTTCTTCTACTAATATTCTTAAACAACCAGCTTCATCATAATAATTTGAATGTAATAATTATCCAACTGAAAATTTATTTCCAATTTCAGCTAGATCCCAATGACAATCTTCCCAAAGAATCCTGTCTAGAATGTGCGAGAGATGTTAAATTTTGCATGGCAATTAGAAAGCAAATTCTACATTCCCACAACAAGCTGATTAATGCGTTAAGGACCAAAGTCATCTCAGAAACTAATCAATCTACTCATGTAAAACTGGAAGAGAAACATATTACAAAAAGACAAACCAGAAAAAGAGAAATGACGCCAGAAAGCACTAGCGAGGAAGATAATTATTACAGTGAGAATCAAGAGGATGAAAACGCTGAAACTGAAGAAAACCAGGAAGTTGAAGAAATAACTGAAGAACTCGAACACACTGAAGAACTAGAACAAATATCTGAAAATGAGTTAAAGACTGAAGATAATAATGCAAACGATAACCCTATAGAACCTCCTTCACTATCCCCAAAACGACTATTAAGAAAACGCAACATGATTGCAATGAGCAGTAGAATTCTAAAACAAGAAAACTCAATGAGCGATAGAAGATATCCCAGTGTTGTATTTATAAGAAAATCAATGAGAGACAAATTAAAAAAACAAGATTCAAATGACAAATCAAAAAGACAAACAGAAAAACTAGACGACACTAAAGTAATCTGGAAAAACGGCAAAAAATATTTGGCTTGCGAAATTTGCAAAAAAGAAGTCAAACAACATTACATGAAACATCACATGACCATACATTTTCCGGAACATTTCAGCTGTGACGTGTGCGGCGTAATGACCAGAAACCTGAGAGGCTTGAGGTACCACAAACTCTATTGGCATTCCTCAAAACTGGATTACATTTGCGACCAGTGCGGCAAAAAATACAGATCGAAACACGCTCTAGATTTGCATAATAAGAAAGAGCACGGCGGAGTGAGGGATTTAGAGTGCGACATTTGTGGCAAGAAGTTTTTCCAAAAAATGCACCTGAAAAGACACGTGGATGGGATTCACAAAAAACTCAGGCCGCATAAGTGCGAATACTGCGGCAAAGATTTCACTAAAAGAACCCACTTGGTTACCCATTGGCGGACGCACACCAATGAAACGCCTTACGGTTGTGATATGTGCGGGGAGAGGTTCAAATTGAAACTTTCTTTGAAAAATCACATGCGCAGAACGCACAATGTTGAGGAGAAAGAGAGAGTGTTTTGCGACGTTTGCAATAGAGGCTTTGCCACTGAACAAGGATTGAGGGCTCATATAAATTCCAGAGTACATGAAGGAGAGAAATGTCAGTTTTGCTCTGAGACCTTCACACCAGAGTTTTTGAAAGTGCATATGAGGGATGTGCATTTACGTGTAGATTTTTATTAATAGTTTGTAGTTTATAATAGATATGATGTAAATATTATTAATATTTTATATTTTGTAATTATTATTAAATCATAACAGTTAAATATTTTATATATATTTTGTGGGAGAAAGATGTTTCCTTGGGGTTATAAACAGCAGGGTTGTTGGTTGAAGGTCAATAGAAATTCAATGCATATACATATTAAGTATTATATAATAATCATAATGTATGTAATGAATCTATTGTCACTTATCTGTGAAATAGAAATGGTACCGAAATACAATTTCTGCTTTGTGAAGTGAAAACTATATTTTACTTTCATGGTAAATGAGACATTATTTTTCCTCAAAAATTGAAATTACTGCCTAATTTTCCACGAAAAAGAAACAAATATCCAATTAGCTTGTCATTTTGCAAAGTAAATTTTTCTACTTTTCAATTACCTGTCACAAAGCAATGATATCTATATTAGCATTGTAGAAAATGTTTAACTCTCAAGACAATAAGCGAAATTAGGAAAAAATTGGAGGGTTTTATCAGGAAACAAAATGTATAACTTCATTTCAAAACTTATACTGCACCTTTTTATTTAAGCTGCGTTATTTAACATGTTGTTGGCCCTGGAAAAAAATTATAAAAGACCCACTACCAACTCAAATATCAATAGCTTGACATGCTCTTGTTCCATAAGAGTTTTCAGCTATAAGAGCTAAACAACTCTATGCTGTAATGAGCAAGTAGGGGATGAAAAAAGTATCATACATAAAAAACTTGAAATTTGACACCACTGCAAACAGTTGGAATAGTAGCATAAATGATTCAATTAAATAATAATGATAAAACATCGCTAGATTTCTTCTTACATTTAAATAAAAAAATTAACAAATAAAACCTACCCAATAAGTTTACATAATATTAAAATCAAAATTAGACACATCATCAAACTGATTAGGTTGTCCTTGTCCTTGTGGATTGGGCATTTGCTGCTGCCCCATTTGACCTCGCCCATTATTGCCCATCTGTTGCATATTAATTATTTGCTGTCTGTATTGCGGTTGCTACAAAAATGAAAATTTTAGCTCAATACTCCTATAACAAATCCAATTCTTACTTGTTGTAAAAGATGTCTCAATCCAGGATTGTTATTCATCACCGGTCTGATCATCCTTTGTTGTTGAGGATTGTTGGGTTGCGGTACTTGAGGGTTACCTTGAGCCGCCATTCTTTGCTCCATAATTTTGAATTGCATTTCTGCGTGCTGCGCCGCCTGCAAAGCTTCCTGTAAGTGAGACGTCTTCATGTGACTGATCCTTTCTAATTGGGTTTTGTATTGTTGCTCTTGCTGTTGGGCAGCTTCTAAAGTTTGCTTTAGTTTATTGATTTTGTCCAAATTTTGTTGCCTTTCTACTTGAAGTTGGTTCTCGAAAGGACCTCTTTGAACTGGTTGACCCATCATGTTGCCTTGTTGCATGTTTTGTTGATTAGGACCTAAGGGAAGTTAGTTTAGAGAATCAAAATAAAATATTTATAAAAGAAGACTCACCTTGCTGTCCGACATTTTGTCCCATCATTCCACCAGACTGTCCGATTGGATTACCAGGTTGTCCAATATTACCTCCAATTTGTCCCATTGAAGTTGGAGTTTGACCAATAGAAGCACCTGGTTGTCCAATAGCGGTACCTGGTTGGTTGAGAGACTGACCTGGTTGACCTAGCAAAAATTGTAAGTTAGATTTTTTCTATTAAACCAATAATCTTACCTTGAGGGTTCAAATTCTGAGTGATCTGTCCACCAGCCATAGACAAACTATTTGTTTGAGAAATCATCAATCCTTGCTGTTGCTGTTGCTGCTGCTGTACATTTTGCTGTTGTTGCGAAGTAACCGGATTATTCCCTCCAATTTGTTGATTACCACTAGGCATTGGCATTGGAGTTTGAGGGTTCATCGGTTGTCCATTGCCTCCCTGTCTCATTTGAGTCGATTTTTGTTGCTGAATAACTTTACGTAGCCTGTCTACAAAAGCAGCTTGATCGTTGGGGATGAAACCAAGATAAGCTTTTTTGTCTGCTGTATACAGGAGAATCAGAACTTTTATGTCGCATGCTGCCGGATTTGGATTGCTAGTGAAGTGCACGCAACCAGCAAAACCAGAATTCATTACTCGTGTCAAGGAATCTAGGGCTTCGCATTGGGTGGGATGGAATAAGACTGACTTGGAGTTTTTCAGATAGGAACCGCCAATGTTGCCTATTAGTTGTTTTGGCATTAGTTGCATTATTAGTTTTTGGGGCCAACCATCTGCTTTCCTAATAATGATTATTAGAATTAGAAATAATGCTTAAAACCACCTTACACGCTTAAAAGCTTGTAAGTTGCAATGTTTTATTTCTCGGTCTTATATCTTTTGAGAGAAAAATACTGACTAAAGGTCGATTCATACATAGTAGGGATGTGATTGGCACGTGATTTCGCCGGCGAAGTCGAATATACTCGTATGAATTTGATGGAACCTATTCCCATCTGCCCGACGTGCGACCGTGACAGTGCAAACAGTGCTGTCGCCGGCACCGTAATGTGATCGTTATATTAGTTCCTGACGATATTTTTGGATTTTCACGGCTGTACCAGGGCCGGTATTCTCGTTCTCGGAAACGCTCACCGCTTTTCAGTCGCTCGGCACTTTCAATGTAAATTTGCATTTAAAGTGCCGACCGACTAGAAAGCGGTGAGCGTTTTTGAGAACCAGAATACCGGCCCAGGTGTCCCACTAAGGTCGGCCAGGTACGATATTATGGAAACCATAGACCTTACGGCTTCGGGATTTTTTTTTTTCACTAAATCGGCGCAGAGAAATTGATGGAAATTATTTTCAAGTTTCTAGGATGACTGATGCTAGGGGGCGCAATTATGATGATATAGCTAAAAATTCAACTTTTCTCAAGAAATCGCTATATTAAGATACTGTTTTAACAACAGAAATCAAAAGTTCATTAATTTTTGCGTCAGTTTGGTTATAAGGCTTTTTTTCGTATCTTGAGTAATAAGGGTGGGGGAAGCTGGTGAAAATTTTTTTTTAGAAATTGCTGTATCTTCCATACCCCTCATTCAATTTGGGTTTATTTAGAAGAGAATTTCATTGTTATTAAGAACACCACTTCGTTTGAGGTCGATAGTTCCCACCGCGTCTGCTAGAGGGCGTTGTTTATTCAAGATCCAGTTTTTCCTAATTTTCATGAAAAATCCAAATGGCATAATATTATTTTTGTATTGCTGTGCTTAAAGAGCAAAAAAATATCTACATTTTGGCGCAAAGGGCAATTCAATATCTGCATTCATTTTCAAGTTACGTGAGGTCCATGGTCTCCATAATATCGTACCTGGCTGACATTAGTGGGACACCCTGTACAAATTGAGTTAGTCCGTGTGCAACTCAAAATACATGGACTCTGATTTCCAGAATGTTATCTGGAGGGTGACAAAGTTTTTTCAAATGAACTTCTATATTGCATAAAAATAGGTTGAACGAATTTTCTGACATCCTAAAGTATTCAAAAAATTTTGCAGTTTTTATAGAATGTTCTAAATTCCCCTTCTGTACCTCTCTTTATTCATGCAGGATGGACCCAGTGTCGTATTTCTACCTGTTCTTCTACTTGTTCTTCCATTTCTTCATCCAAAACCAGTGCGATCTGCAAAAGTTCTTCATCTGAAAATATTTATTTCCATTTGGCTATAAACTATATACTCCAGGGAAATTAGACTTCCTCTGCGGCATCAGGCCAAACAAGCTGAATTTTTGCAGAGACCTTCGCTTTGATTTTCTAATGAAGCACAAAAAAATCGAATATGCCTATTGCCTACCCTTGTGCGTCCTGAGATTTCGAAGGTCAAAGATCACGAAAATCGGTTTTTTGCGAAGATCCCGCTTCCAGTGCATCTGATGTCGAAGAACCCAAAACAAAACTTACGTAAAATAGTATTTTCTACAAAATTGTTCATATGCATTTTTTTGTACGGCCAGCCGTTTTCGAAATATAGCGTGATACGTGATAAAGCGGGAGCGCGCATCCAAAATAGGTGATACTGTATTATACAGGGTGTCCCCGTTCAACTGGTCAAAAATGCTAGGGTATATAGAGGAACCATAGAGAAGTAATTTGAGATAGGACACCGATGGTCGGAAGTGCGTCGTTTCCAAAATACAGGGTGTTGAAATTTAAACAATTCCCTTCCATATCATCTGGAGGGCTAATGCTAGGCTGTTCAAATTTTCAGGGATTATTGATGTAGGAATGATGTTTAAAAATTCGTATAGTGCACCCCCACCCATTTTCTACCTGGAGCCACCCCAAAAAAAAAAAAAAAAATTGAAACAAATTGCTTTTTTTTTTTTTGGGAAGCATATAATATTTTTATATATATATTTTTTTAGGGATGATTCCAGGTAGAAAATGGTGTTGCATTATATGACTTTTCAAATATCATTCCTACATCAATAATCCCTTGAAATTTGAACAGCCTAGCCAATGCCTTTCAGATGATATGAAAAGGGGTTGTTTAAATTTCAACACCCTGTATTTTGGAAAGGACGCACTTCCGACCATCGGTGTCCCATCTCAAATTACGTCTCTATGGTTTCTCTATACAGGGTGTATATTTTAAGTGATACCACTATTGCTATATCCGAAACGGTAAGAGCTACAAGGTCGGTTAAATTGGAAAAAAGTTGCCTTTTTTGATGCTCATTTAAAATTCTTTTACAGTGTTGCCAATTTTTTTTTTAGTTTCTGGAATACAGGTTCATAACTAGGGCCGAATTAAGGTAAAATTTTGGTAAAAATCACTGATGATCACTTTTTAGATCCGAAACGTCGCCCAATCATACTCAAAAGGTATATCGTTGAAAAGGGGATAAAGAGTGCTTTCTAAAAATGACATAAAAAATTCAGGCCCGTATTTAAAAATATTAAGTTGATGATGGTAGCTCAATTACAAAACGTCAGATTCGAAATTTGAAGATGCCATGTTGTAGAGCGGAAAAAATTATAAAACTTTCAAATTTGAATTGTGTTTCGAAAATTAATAGTTCTCGAAATAATTGATGAAATATTTTTAGGCATTTCTTACAAATCACCCTGTATTTAATAAACTAAAAGGAATTTGGCAACACTGAACGAGTCTTCAATGGGCATCAAAAAAGTCAACTTTTCTTTAATTTAACCGACCTTGTATAGTCTGGCAAGTGGTAACTTGGTAGAGACGAAAGGTGGAAGAAAACTGGGGCGTTACCTAAAAATATTCACTGACACCTCAACTGACACCGTCTGTTGACAGCCATGTCTTTGAGTTCAGTGGCACCGAAAACACCAAGGAAATAAACCAATAAAATTATTAGAAAAAAGATTCTCTAGTTTCGCCAATAACCACGCCACTGTATGCTGTCGTTCAGGCTCTAACCAATAGAATCTTGTTTCTGAATAATCACGCCTCTCCACTTCCATCATTTCGCAATGTTGCCTGATTTTTTCCTATTTCAAAATATTACACATACCCATATAGCAAAAGAAAAAGATGACACCAACTTGTTTATTATTTTCTTTCTAATTTCCGTCAAGTTTGGCAAAGCAGCAAATTCTTTTGCAGTTCGCCGTTTCGCTAGCCAGACAATAGCTTTCACCGTTTCGGATATAAAGTCTGTTTTTTTTTAAAGACAAAAGTCAAAATGACATTATGTTGGCAATACAATGTAAAATTGTCAAGCTTTCAAATTTTGTATGTAGAAAAGGCTTGTGTTGCCAACATAGTCACTAAATTTTTGACTTGGGGAATTATCTTTAAAAAAAAAAACACACTTTAGCAATAGTGGTATCACTTAAAATATACACCCTGTATACCCTAGCATTTTTGACCTAGTTGACCTGGGGACACCCTGTATAATACAGTATCGCCTATTTTGAATGCGCGCTCCCACTTTATCACGTTATATTTTGAAAACCGATTTTGTGACCTTCAACCTTCGATATCTCAAGACGCACAAGGGTAGGCATATTCGATTTTTTTGTGCTTCATTAGAACATCAAAACGAAGGTCTCTGCAAAAATTCAGCTTGTTCGGCCTTATTCCGCAGATGGCCCTTTTTTTGGTCCAATTTGTGATGCCGACACGCCACTGACACTGACGAACTGTGCTGACGAATATGAATAGAAATCACTGTGAGTTGCTATGTGTGAATCGACCTTAAAAATCATAAAAATGTCCAAGGTTTTCTTGATTTTTTTTTTTTAACTCATGAACATCTACACTATAATTAATATTGGAATTGTACCTATATCATGATAGTAAATCAATAAATAAATAAATAAATAATTTCTCAATACTAAATCTATACTCACATTTCTGGTTCTCCATCTTTGGAATTTGAAGACACCTGACAAGGCACTTGCTTAGTGACTTTTTGTTGGTCAGTAGGATTTTTAGGTTTTTCTATCCATTCCAGCACTCCGTGCCATATGGTGTGCCTTTCTCTACCGCCCATTTGTTGGACAGCAGGTTGAGCGGACTATATAGATGATTATTTTTTAAAAAAAAGGTCTCTAGACAAAAATTTTCTTACCTGAGCCTGTGAAGTAACAGCAGGATTACTTTGAGGAGCTCCTTGTTGAGGCATTGAAGGTGCCATTGAAGTTTGAATACCTTGCGGAATGATTTTGTTCATTCCAGGATTATTTGGGTTTACTGCAACAAGAAAAAATACAAAATTTGTCCAATAACCATCAACAACTTACATTGATTAAACTGATTAACATTTCCAGCTGCCATCGAAGGTGGTTGATTCAATTGAGCAATCAAAGCACTACCTCCAGCAGTGCTGGTATTCATTTGCTGATTATTTGGGTTGGGTTGCATATAAGCCCTGGGCTGTTGTGTGGGTGGTGGCATTTGCCAACCAGGTCTAGCAGCTGTAGACGTGTGGTAGCCAGGAGGCGCTGGCATACCACTCATGCCCATCTGGCCCATTTGAGTTGTGGTCATAATTCTACCCACTTGATGGTTGGGCGACCTGTAGACTGGACTTTGTCCCATGCCACTGTTAACGACAGTTGGTGAATTATTGCCCATCATGTTTGGATTTTGTGGGGTGCCCATTTGAGTGTTATGGATGGGACTGTCGTTTCCAGGTAATGGGCTGGGCATTGAGGTGACAGCAGAAGCTACAAGCTGCGCTTGATTTGATACACTGCCAGGTGGAGGACTTACAGGTCTTTCTTTGAGGCTGAAGCCCCTTAGTAAGACCAAATGTCTTGGATCTTTTGCATAGTTTTTTGTTTGTGAAGATGATAAATCACCACCGGCTTTTTCAAATAGTTTATAAAGAGGGGGGATTTTTCTGGGCGATATTATAGACAAATTTATGTTTTTTTCTTGTAGAATTGCAGCTAGCTGTTCAGCATTTTTGCCTGAATACGATTGACATTCAAATACAGGGATTAAATAGGGAGGCGAGTTGCAAATTAGGATGCAATGCTTTTGCACTACAACGTTTGGATCTCGTTTGAGTTGGAGCTCTTCAAAGCAACATAGAGCTGTTGCTAGACCTTCTGCGATGTTTGCATGTGATTCACCTTTTCCACCAATCAGCCTAGGTTTATATAAATGAAAAGTTTTAGAAAATCTATATTTATGGGTACTGGTACTTACTCAAGTCTCTCAATTGCCCCTAAAACTTTGGCAGGGCTAGTAAACGGTCCAAAAGTGTCTGCGGATAAATTAGGTAAGCAATCAGCCGCTTGGTATGTGACTATACCGTAGAACGAGTTTGAATTTTCAGATAGTAAAGTGGTGTCTTCAATGCTTCCTTGGTGGAAGTACCTGGGAGAAAATGTTACTAGCAAATGAGATTTACATGGAAAATACTCACTCTAAAGATGGAATGATGTAGTTGGTTTTGATATCGGCAATGTAGGCCCCATTTACCGCAGTGGCCTCGATTAAAAACACTACGTCGGATTGTAGAACGTGGTCGGCCGAACACACAACCATATTCAATGCGAATTTTTATAAAAACACAGTTTAGTTTTTCATAATAACAATAATTTTCATATTTTTTAGTAGCTTTTTCTTATTTGTTTATGTTTTATATACCAAAATATATTGGAAGAACCAGTGCAGGAAAAATGTATAATTATCTCTTTCTAATACAAGCTGGAAGAGAAAGACATGAATACCCGAAGAATAAAGTAATTTTTAGGTTATGTTTTAATGTCAAAACAAAACTTCCAAAGTTGTTTTCCAAATTAATGATTTTCCATTTTTCCAAAACCCCCTAGTAAAATCCACAATACAAATTCAAAAATCTATTTTCCGAATTAATTCTACACTATGGAGCTCAGGGACAGTAATTATAACAAAAACGATTACGTTGAAACAGTATGTATCGACAACCGAAACCTCTACACCCAGTAATTCCTAAATTTCAGGCCTCCGGTAATAAAGTTTGCAGACAAACGGTCCTCTGTGGTTCCCAAAACATAATTTTGCAAGGCAAAGTCATTGTCCAGGCCGAAGCTATAATTAGGGGCGATTTGGCTAATGTTAAAACTGGCAGATATTGTATTATTAGTAGAGAAGCTGTTTTGAGGCCTCCTTCTAAGAAATTCAGCAAAGTGTATGTAAATTCACTACTTATTGATTTAGACAACTAATTTCATCTTTTAGGGTGGCATTTTTTCCTTTAAGCATAGGAGATCATGTTTTTATTGGAGAAAGAACTTTAGTCAATGCAGCTCAGATAGGAAGCTATGTTCATATAGGCAAAAATTGTGTAATTGTAAGTTATTGACTCATTTTTTATTTTTATTCTATTAGTTGAATTTAGGGCAGAAGGTGTGTCCTCAAAGACTGCTGTGTAATAGAAGATAACACAGTTTTGGCTCCCGAGACTGTGGTGCCCCCTTTTGCTAGGTACAGTGGTTCTCCTGCTGTACAAACAGGAGAATTGCCAGAGTGTCATGCTGATTTAATGATTGATTACACTCGGAGTTATTATCAACACTTTCAGCCTCTACCAAAATGATTTTTGTGAATCTTTTGCTTATTTTAATGGATTATTAATATTATTAATATTTTAGGTTTGTTTATGTAAATTTTGTATTAATATTTTAAGGGCACCTCATCTTTCTATTTAATACTATACTGATAGAAAATAAAGTCAAGTATTGGCTAAAAAATAAAAAAATTCTTCACTGAACTTTCTTTTGGTTTGAGTAATAGGTATTAAAATTTATAAATTATCTATTCCGGTTGGCTTTCATACATAAGAAAATGAAAATTTCCCTTTTCTTTAAACTTTTTTTTCAGCTTCAAAAAAATGTTCTTCAAAGTTATTTGATAATCCCAAGTGGTCAATTACTTCCGAAATACTTCGAAGTACATAAAAATACCTTGAAATACCTCGAAATACCATGTATTTCCGTCAAAGTGAAATCCCATGGAATTACCGTCGAATTACACGAAATACCCTCGAATTACCATGCAAAGTCCGTCAATACTTCTTAAAAATTGATTGTTGATAACGATTCTTCTTGCAGATCGCAGTGAAGTATTTTTGCTCGGATTTGTGTCTTTTGATATGATGGATTTCATTTGGACACACATGATAGACAATTAAATTATTAGTTAGTGAATTAGTGATGCAGGTGACTGTTAGTTCTACAATATTGTTAGGTACAAAGTCATCCAACGAGGACTGAACAGGGGCAATTTCTGACTTGACCTGTACCAAAAAATCGTTTGAACCAAAAATCAAAGCGTTACGCCATGGATGAACTGTTTCTTGAATAGAACGCCATGTTTTTTTGTATGATTTTTGGAAAAGTTTCATTTTTCACGTCTATTCTGTTGAACATACATATTTGATATTCCGATTGCTGTTTTTGTTTTAATATTTTATGCTTAATCATTTTAGCTAGACCTGTTGGATTTAATTGGTTATTGGTTCATAGGTGATAAACGCATAATCTTTGTATTTTCTTGCCATGTATTAAAGAGGTAAAGCAAAAATTAATAAAAATAAAACATTAAAATAAAATAAAAATAGCTATCGTAATATCAAATATTTTCAACAGAATAGATGTAAAAAAATGCGACTTCTCCAAAAATTATACAAAAAACAGGGTGTTCAATTTAAAAAACAGCTCATCCATGGCGTAAGTAATTGAATTTTCTCAAAAATAAAGGGAAAGTCAAAAATAATCCTCTATTCAGTCATCGTTAGATGACCCTGTACTATTAACTAACTGACATTGATTACTAATACGTATCAGGTATATACTTAGTATATCTTTCCATTTGTTTCAATTAATCTGCAGTAAATTCAAAGTATATCAACATATTTAGTCTGTTTGAAGATGGACTATAATTTTCATTCTATAATATGTATTCCAATTTTAAGTGATAAAGAATTAATTGTTCTCGCTACATTAAAAATAAACTATTTTTAAATAGCTCGAAATACCTCGGCTTACCGCGAAATACTTCGAATTACCTCGAAATAGGTACTTCGAATTACCTTGAAATACTTTGAATTACCTCCAAATACTTCGAAGTACTCGGCAATACCACAAAAAACTAGATTCGAATTACCACCACCGAAATACTTTGAATTTCGCGAAATACTTGCGAAATACCGACACTTTCGCAATACGTGTACAAATTTTTACAGAGTGGTTGAGCCCTCGGATAATCCTTACAGTTATGGGTTCTCTTTGATCTGGGTTCATTTTTTTAGAAAATATATTTACTTTGGTGTTTATAGTTTTTGTGTGAAGTGGTCATTCCTGTGGATTTGTCTGGATTGGAATGAAGGTCTTCTCCTTATCAAAAAATTACTCAACATAAGCATTCTTTATTGCCCATCATATTTCTTTCATTTGCGGATATCTCAACAGAATTTGACTTTACCAACTATCATTCAATATTGGTTTTCAATTTTATAAAAAAAAAATCCTTAATTAGACCGTATCGAAGATGGGACTCAATAACTCTCAAGGCATAGCAGCCAGAAGAAGTTATGTCGCAAATTTTCGCAGTATGGGTTTTTAAACTTTAGAGACCTGTCTATTGACAGACCTAAGAATTTATTGAAGATTGGCATAGTGAAGGGTTTATTTTGCAAGTAAAGATCTTCAGTAGCACATCTAAAATTGAAGATTTTGGTCTTAGAGACATTAAATGTCAAAGAGTTCGCAACACATCAGCCTTTTATTTTAAGCAGATCTGTTTTCATATTGGCCTCCATATTATGCATTTAAAAGGTGTTAGTAGGAACAAAAACGGAAGATTCTGTCATCAGTACATGTTTTAGATAGCTCCTGGGATCACTCTCTGTTGAAATTTTGCCTGAGAGTTAGTGGCAATATTACAGTAAAAAGAATTTACGTCAGGATTCAGATTGCTTGAAATGACCGAAACATTATTCCTCCTACCCCTCAGGTCATTCACAATTCTCCAAGTTTCCCTTGACCTATTAGGATTAGGATTATTCATTTTATTCTTCGCAAGCCTGACTATCTTCTGTACCTATAGTTTAAAAATGTTAAATTGTTTATAGAGAATTTTCTTAAGTAATGAGAGCCGAAGGGAGCGCATATATTTCACTTAGAATTATGCAGGCACTTTATATACAGGGCTTTCATTTCAAAACTTCCCACCCACGTTATCTGCGTAAAGAGGCATATTTGCGGAAATCGCCGAAATACGTCAAGAGCCTAGGACTATCTCCACTACTATACTATAAACACACCTGCTTCTTTACCTACCTTTTTATTACAGCAACAGGTAATTACGCACGTGTGTTTAAGGATAAATAGGCATTTTCAAAAATTGAAATGGGCGTGTTTCTGCAACACTGTGGTAAAATTTGAAAAATAAGGCGGCAAAATGTACAGATTGAACAGCCCTTCAAAATAATTTATCAGTCGACCCCCTATCTCATTTGAAAATTTTGGGGAGGTAGCCTTAGGACTTAAGGGGTTTAAGAGGCGAAGTCCAATTTTACGTAAAAAACCTTCCCCCTCAATAAATTTGTTGACGTGTTTCGGCATTTTCCGCAAATATGCCTCTTCACGCAGATAACGTGGGTGGGAAGTTTTGAAATGAAAGCCCTGTATGGTTTCTCTTTTGTTTCTTTATAATTGATATTAAGAAAGGCAGTGTCAAAATTATTTATGAAATTGTTGAAACGGGTTGACAGTAGTCGGAAAGTCATTCCACTCCGATTGGTGGCAAAGTAAATGTGGAGAAGTTTGCCCTAGTATAAAGTCTACCGCGTCTTGAGCCATCCTTGATCTTTCACAGCCAAATGGCACAAGTTCCATTACTGCTTCGTGGTCAGACAAACTGGCATTGATTCGTTACACACTGAAATTCGTACAGAAATAGTTCAATATCGAAGCTGAAAAGTGGATTAGCCGATCCATTTGCTTATTGCATCTTATTTAAATTATCAGTTCAACAAATTACAGACAGTATTTGATTAGATCTATTGCATTTGTCCAAGAAATTCACGTCGGGATCGCCAATCAAAATCAACATGGAATTAACAGAAATTATCTTTGTAGACTATCTTAGTTCCGCCATTCGATCATAATAATTCTGCGTGATTTCGGTACGTTGACGAAAATTCCTCTCCCACTATTAAGTACTGAGAAATTTCACAAGTGTGCTTGTTAAACCGAACAGATGAACAATAACACTAGTGATATAATAAGATCATTACGTAATTCCTGATGACACATGGGCAGCGTTTCGAATATTGAAAGAAGTGCTTCCAGCTTTATTGCTTGAAATACTTGTTGAGGAAATACGTTCCCAAATTTGTATAATTGTGAAAAATGAAAACCATAAAAACAACAAAAATTTGGGTCGTAGATAAAATGTTGTATATCACACGTACGGTAACGCTCATTACAGCACTTGCGATGTTACTACACTCGGTCTACGACCTTGTAGCAATATTCCCCACTCGTTACTGGATGTAACATAATAATAAATAGCTCATACCGAACTTCTTCATATCACGCCCTCTCCTGCCGAAGGTCACATAAAAGCTACCTATTGGTCGATCAAATATGGCCAATGAGTTGAAAATCAAACCTAAAAAAAAAAATACGCTTTATAGTAGCAGTATGCACATATACAGGGTGTACCATTTTAGATTGTATTCTTAGGGAAATTTAGTTTCTCTTTACAGACTATAAAGTTAAAAGTAAACAATTTACTAACGAAATAACAAAAACATAAAACATTTTACTAAAAAAACTTTAATATTGCATCAAGTAAATTATGTCTTTATTTTTAATACTTTTATTGATATACTACTGATAAAACCTATTACATTTGCAAAATAAAAATAAAATGAAGATGATTTTGCATCCCGCAATAAGAAAGAACAAACATGGTATCATGGACATTCTTTAAAAAAATAAATAAATTAAACAACTAAAATTTCAATCAATTATTCCATTTCTGACACTCTCGTACCAATTTTTGCACTCGGACGTTAAAGGATTATTGGAGATGTACCATAAAACTTTCGGTGAAATATCGACAAGTTTCCGCGGAATGCATCTGAGCTGATTGTGCTCCAAACGTACCCAGTCGATCATTTTCAGTGACCCCAAGCTGGCCTCGCTAATTTCCTCCAGTTCGTTTTTGTGCAAAAACAACCAACCGAAAGCTTCGATGCCGCTAAACGCTCCGTCGCTCAAATAACGAATTTTGTTGTTGTTCAAATGTATGTGAGTGGACACGTTCAAATTAACTTCGGAATCGTAGTGGAGTCCGTTAACGTTTTGTAGAGCTCCAGTGGGTATGCTGGAAATCCAATTGTGTTCGAAATTGAGTACGGTGATTTTTGGACTACCCAAAAACCATTCTCCTGACCAATATCCGATACGATTTTGATCTAGTTGTAGAATGTTCAAATTTGGAATGTCGTTAAAGGCTTTTGGATGTATAGTTTCGATGCTGTTGTTTGATAGGCACAATTCTTTTATTGGTAGTTTATTGAAAACTCCTTCTCTTATGGTTTTCAAGTTGTTGTGTCGTAGTTTGATCAAATAAAGTTTGGGTAGGTTCAGAAAACAACCACTTTCCAGCTCGGTAATGTTGCTGTTGTCAATAATCACGTCCACTAGTTTTGGTAGTCCATGGATGGCATCTCGTTTTAATACAGGAACGTTTTCGTTTAAAATTTGTATGTAGGACACTTTAATTAGCTCTTCGATAGGCGAAAAACAACCACTAATCGATTTTACATCTTTGGCACCCACTAAAGTAACGTTTGTATTCGAAAAAGTATTTTCTTCGCAGGCGAAAAGTTGCGAGACAATGTAAAAAAATGTCGTACAAAATAACGCGATGGCCATCGTGTTTATACTAATACTGGTTGTTTTGACATTTTCGCGCCCCGATAAAAACTGTTAATAAATTAATTAAAAATTCAAATCATGAATGCTTTTGGTTTCCTTTCTTATCGCGGCGTAGTGAATGAAAGATGAAAGGTCGATCGGTTCGGTTGGGGTCAATTTTATGAAGTAATTATTAAAAATAGGAACCGCTACGTTTTTGTTGTTTTTTATCGTTTTATTTACTACTTTGATTACAATAATTTGAATGTTAATAAGATTACATTATGGTAAAACTTCAAATAAGGGGAAACCCGCAATGTTCAGTATATGTAGGTGTCCTATATTTATTGGAATGAGGAGATATGTAGTTTCAAAAAGAAACATAATAATATATAAAACTTAATATGTATAAGGTATCGACATTTCAACAGATAAGATCAAACAAAGCTAAAATAATTTAAAATTAATATATGACAAGATATTTTGTTAAGATGGTCATTCAAAATGCATAAAATCAGGGTATTGGTACGATGAACATTTGTAGATACATAATTTTAAAAGGATCGTAAGTAGGTAAATAGTAAATATCCATACATTTTCGTAACAAGTCTGTCCGAAATTAAGAGGTGAATCTAAAGGGTAAATCTACATTACGTTTTTGTGTTTTAAAGACGTCAGCATGTGCGCGTCTGAGAAATGGAGGATCTGTTATTAGAGGTTTAGGAAATTCGTATTGTAAAATTTCGTAATTAATTAGGTATTGTAAAATCGTCCGCGGATAGAGTCTTTAAAGATCCAATAAAATGGAGCATTAAATTACAGAGATACTTAACTCTACTCGCAATAGATATACCTACCTGCATACTTATAACAACTAGTACAAGTACGATAATACAACTTATTACGTAACTCAAACCACAGGCTAAATATTTTTTTTTTGAAAATCATTTATTACAAAACAAATACATACATAAAATACAAGCTCAAAATTTCTTCAAGCAGTGTTCCTTCCAAACACTACTGGTCTCAAGAAAAAAAAATACTGATGAATTCTAAACCAGCTATAGGCGGCAGTAAATATAATTATAAATCTATATAAAAAAAACAAATAACAAAAACTTAACAGGAGGCTCTTTAATCACTTTAACAGAGCCCCAACCATCCAACAAGCAGGTAGGTAACCAACTGATCAGACAGTATCAGTTAAATAACTTTTCAATACCCTATTGAAACTATTTAAACTACCAGAGTTTTTTAAATTATTTGGGAGGTTGTTATATACAGTGTGTCCACCTAAGTTCGCAGCATATGGGAAACTTTTTTATTATCAATTTGACGAAAAAAAGGTATTTTTTATAAAAGTTTCTGCTTCTTGCAAAAATAATATTAAACTACTAAAACTTGAAATAGCATGTACTGGGTGGTCAAAAAATATAAAAATATACAAGGTATTTCCTAAGTACGGTTCGTATTTTCAGGATGTGATTCTTTACAATATTTCAAGAAAAAAAGTTTCCATAAACATGTGTCCGGAAATGCGTAGTTTCTGAGATACAGGGTGTCAAACTTTTAGAAAAAATCGGTTTTTAGCTCAAAAATCCATTTTTCAATTTTTTTTTCAAATTTGGCAGGTGATAACGAAAGGTATCTTTTGACTGTAATATGACTTGCTGAATCTGGAAAAAATATCAAAGGTTTTAAAAAATAGTGACTTGCCATTTTTTTTCTACCTTTACCGTTTTTTTTCCAAAAAATTCTGTATATTTTTCTATTTTTTGACCACCCTGTACATGCTATTCCAAGTTTTAATAGTTTGATACTATTTTTTCAAGAAGCAGAAACTTTTATAAAGAATAATTCTTTTTCGTAAAATTGATAATAAAAAAGTTTCCCATATGCTGCGAACTTAAGTGGACACACTGTATATCCTAATATGTGGATCCGAGTGGACAGTTTAAGCCTATCTATTCTACTATGTGAAATATACAAATTGTTAACTGACCTGGTGCCATAATTATGAAATTCATTTGAAAATACTATATTGGAATTACAAGCCTGTTTTTTTATTCAAAGCCGTGACTATACTCTCACCAATGGTTGAAAAGTGATGATTCAAATTATTTACTGTATCTTCACCGTTCTTGATAGAAACAATTGTTGATAAACTGCCTCTGCTTTTTTACATTTGTTCCTGCTCGGATCTAATCTGATCGGAAATACCTATTTTTAGCTATTTTTATTTTATTGTTTACCTGGTTTTTCGATGCATTATAAAATTATTAGCAAATTGTATATTGTTGGGAAATTTAATTTTCATTTTATAAGCCTTATCACGTATCTTCATAAGATGTAAAATCCTTTTATTTATCCAAGAACCACAAAACGAGGTGTTACATTGGTGGCGCCATCGTACAATTGTACCACCTCTGGCACCAATGCATTCAAAACATCTTGCTTACGTATTTAAGGCGTCTTAAAGACATCTCAAAGACGTCGTATGTTACAAAACCCAACGTCTTTCAGATGTCTGCCTAAAGACGTTTTCAGGACTAAGACAATCTCTAAGAAGCCTTCAGGGAGATGTCTTGAAGACGTCGAATCTCTTTTCAATAACATAAACCATTATTCACTTTCAGGCCTGATTGTACCAAATAGTTGTCTTGATGTGAATTTATGACATCTTCAAAACAACGTCTTTTAGATGACTTCGGAATTTTGAAACTTTTAGGGCTGATTTATTTACATTCTGATAAACAGGTATTGTTCGTCGATTTAAATCTGATACTCGGACGGAATGTGAGCTGGTGGCTCCCTACATTAGAACGCCAATGGTTACCTGACGTCACACCTGTTTTTGCCATATGAAACACCCCCTCGCTCCTCATACCGCAAGTGTCAGTTAAAAATCGACGAACAATATGCAATCTGACGGATAAAAACGCATTCTGTAATCCCATTTGGTCGGCCAGTTATCCACCGACCTATAGAATTTATAGAACGGTGTGTGAGACCCCAAATTCAGAAACTTGGCAAGATGTTAAATTGGCGAGCGGTGACTTTAATTTCTGAGTGGAGACACAGTTTAAAGGGGGCCCTATTTGCGGGTGGATAGAGTAAAACACAAAAATATTGTGGTCAATTAAAATAAAGTTTATTTTATTAAAATAAATAAAGCTTGTTATTAAATAAAAGTCGTCGGTAATAAATAATCTTACAATAAAATTGATAATAAGCATCAATAAACTGTTAAGGAAAATTTATATGATTCCAAGTAAAAATTTTTATTTACAGTTTGACTCGATTCACACTCTTGCCTTCGCAGTTTCTGTTCTGTTCTGTTCCGAGGGAATTTGTAAATGTGCACATGACAGTATAAAAAGTGGGCATAACTGACACAAAATGTGCATCCCCCTTGTTTAGCTTTTCAATGTTGCTGGTTGCCAATATATATGTTTATTCTTAGGGCGGTTACACACGGGCGTGAATGGCTTAGTACATATACGTGCATACATCAACGTGCAAACAACAACGTGCATGGCGCCTTTGTACAGACGCTCGCACAAAACTGCAGTCTTGCTATTCTTGCTACAGTGTTCCGAGTGTGCATACAAAATTGCACATTCAAAAACGCGACGGTATTTTGCATACACATGATGTTTTTGTTTGCACGTTCATGTATGTGCGTACATGTTTTCAGACATCCACGTCCGTGTGTAACCGCCTTTACAACGTTGCCAGTTCCGATTGCCAATATTTTGTATTTTCATTGTCGATTGTCGAGTAGAGGCTGAACTGGGCTGGGATCGGCTGGGCAATAGCGTACCAAGGATGATACACACCTACAGGATTGCTTATCGGCCTATCAGCTGTTTCAACAGCCTACGTCAAGGCGAGAAATAACATGCTGCCTACGTCATAACTCATGAGTTGGATTGGGGAGGTGAGGAGGGATTTGTTCCACACAGGTCTTATGAGGATAGGCCATCCTGTAGTAGTAGTGTGTATCATCCTTGGTGGCGTACAAGTTAGTAGAGTGTACTGAGTGTAGAGTAGGGGAGTATGTATACAGTACAGTGTACTTACACTCAGTACAAATTTTCTGAAATGAAACCCCAAATTCAGAATATTTTGTGTTCTATTCATTGACTGAAAAATTGTGACACATTTATTCTAGAAATCAAAATGTGCATATCTAGAGATTGGGGTGCATACTGTGCAAAAACTACTTACATTTAACAATAATATATTCACTGCTGGCCACGCCTAATTACATGGAAATCTTATTGGTCGAAGGAATTTACTTTAATTATGAACACTTAATGAAAAACTCGAATTTTTGCGCCGTTATTTCACGTCGTGCTTCTTCTCTCGGTTAATTCGACAACTCTTTCACGCCGTAGTTATGACTTTCTAGACACATGTCTCTCGATTCTCGTTTACTACTTGTTTCTTGAATACTCAACCGACACTGGTCCTTCACGCCATAGTTCTGCCGGTTTACTGGCTCTTTCTCGGACACTGGTTTTCTCGAACGCTGATTTTCTTCTGCCAAAGTTGCCTTTTTAAATCATTGGTCCCTCCATTGTCTTGAATTTCTTTATTGTTTCTGACCTCGATTTTTCGTGGTTGAATCATCCGATCAATTAGTGTACTTAGTTGGTCCCCTTTTAATTAATTATCAAGGGCGTCGCTGAGTGGTTTGTTAAGTGGGTATCATCATATAGGCTCGTGCATGATTTATTGATCCTTTTAGAAATTTTTTGGCTCCTTTGGAATGGTAATTGTTGAAAGGGTTTAAAAAAAGGTCCATGAACTTTTGCTTTATCACATTCCAATGTATTGGTCAATAGGTATAGAGTATCGGCTTTCAATAATTTCTGAATATCGATGTTCAGATAATTTTTACGCTGTGTCTAGCTTCCCGGCACCGGTATTCATACGAATCCCTGTTATGACGCATTCTAGATGACTCCATCAACGACCGCCGGGATTTATCGTGGGTCCCGGCTATTGGATTCAAAATTCAAAGTCGTGTTTCTCTTGCTGCTTGAAGCTGTGATTAATTCCGGAATAGCGAATAGCTTTTGTGTATTATTGTTTCTTGTTGTGATATTGGTATTAGAGTGGTAAGTACTTCGTTAATCCACTTTTCGTAGTAGTGGTTTCAAAAGGAAATAGTATGGTTTATTTTGATTCATTATTCAGGACTATAGCCTTTTTAACAGCCTGTATCACTGAAATAAGGTACTCTTGGACCCATGTTTATAAGAATTTTTGCTCTTAATTTGAAATGTAGAATCCGCAGTTAAAATATTAACCTCTAATTTTGAGGCACCCTGTGTAATGTTGCTGAACATTAACGGCGTTGCTGTACAAGATCAAATGCTGAACAAACTTTCAAAATGACCCTATACCTATATATAATAAAAAGTCATCATTTTATTTTCCAATAATGAAAGCTTATCGCGCCCGACTTTGTTTACTTTTTTTACTCTTCATAATAAATCTACCCCAATACCAATGAACATAATAATTATTAACATCTTATATAGCCGGGATCCACGATAGTTACCGGTGGTTGTTGATGACGTCATTTAAAACGCGCCATAACCGGGATTCGTATGAATACCGGTCCGGGAGGCTAGACACAGCGTAATTTTTAATTGAAGTTTCTGGTTGTGCTGAAGTGATGATCTCTCCTGGGATGGTTATTCTTGATTATAATTTCTGTAGTCACTACAGGTGAATTTATCTTGCAGATAGTTACCAGCAACTTTATCTCAAGATCCTCAAGATGAATAAACCGGACCTTAAGCCTATTACACATAACAGCGAAATTCGCTCTTTTTTGACATTGCTACGACAAATTGACGTTTTATGCGTGAATCAAACGTCAAATTGTCGAAGCAATGTCAAAAAGAGCGAATTAGTACTAGGCTTAAGTTCTTTGGTTTATAGGTGATAGGTACTAAAAGATAAATATACAGGATGTCGGTTCATAAACTGAGACATTCTGCACTAGGTACATATTTGAATCATGTTCAAGATGTTGTGTTGGCGAAAGAAAAATAAACATGTTGAGGAGATAGGTCCTGAGCTTACTGGGGTTATACAACTCACTGTACATTATTCCCATATGACACGAGAGGATTAAAAAGTGATAATCCTTACCATATGACACGAGAGGCTTAACAAGTGATAATCCTTTTGCACGGTAAAACTGGTGTTTTGACATTTATTGACAAAAAATTTAAATTTTTGATTTATGAAATTATTAATTAATAAAGAATTAAAGTTTGGTTCGTTGTATAACCTTTTGAATACCACTCGATTTTTCAGGATTACCTAATACTTTTACGTATTAAGTATTATCCGGTAATCCTGAAACCTCTTGTGGTATTACATTCGAGAATCCCGAATTTACAGTGTTGCTAAGTTTCAAAAATATTTTGTTCAAGTAAAATGAATCCCCTATTTTAATTTTGAATGAAACACCCTGTACATTTTGTTAACCAGAATATAGAATTTCTTTATGATCGTAAAAGCTTATAAGACAACATTGCTATTGAATAAATTACCTAAACTTTCAAAATAATTTTTTTCAAGTAGAGTAGAGTAGAGACAAAATATGAAAACCCCTACAGAACTGCTACAACTGAAAACGTCATTTCGTTTATTTCACAACACAGCTGATTTTGACATATTATTATTTGCTAAAAAAAGGTAGCCTTTTTGGGAAAATTACTAATTAATGGAAATACAAAAAAATTCGAAAAAATAGTTATATATGAACATATTAGGACAAGTGAATACGCTCTATAAAACCATGGCATCAGCTGTTTCGGAGAAAACCAAACAGAGGAGAAACAGAGTAATAAAAATACATATTCTAATGAATCATACACTTAACACAAATTCTCAAATTCTAGGTACTTTTGGGTCCTCTCCCCGAAGACTTTTTGCGTCTCAACATTTCACCACAAGAACAACAAGAAGCTGCTGACCGTCAGGCAGCTATGGCTTTACAGCAACAGTACACCGTAGGTAAGTAACCAATAATTTCCTACAAGAACCGTTTCAATATTATTTGTTATTAAAAGGGATGGGTCATGTGCCAAATCCAGCAGGAAGACTCAGCATCACCATCGTGCAAGCAAAACTGGCCAAAAACTATGGAATGACTCGTATGGATCCATATTGTCGTATCAGAGTGGGTCACGTTATCTATGAAACCCCTACAGATCCGAATGGTGGCAAAAATCCTAGGTGGAATAAGGTCATTTATTGGTGAGACCTTATTCATATACACCTAGCAAGCATAAAACCTTGATATTTTTCTAGTCTCATTCCTCAAGGCATCCAAACCATGAACATAGAAATTTTCGATGAAAGATCCTTCACAATGGACGAACTGATTGCCTGGACTCAAATCACAATTCCGCAGAAAGTTTTAACAGGGGAAACTCACGAGGATTGGTACGCCCTCAATGGTAAACAAGGTGAAGGGATTGAAGGCATGATCAACCTTGTACTAAGCTACAATGTAAATAATTGTAAAAAAACAAATACTTGATATAATGTATTGAATTTTATTGCAGCCCAGTGGACAATTTGTCTACCAACCATCTTATCCAGTAATGATTGTACCAAGAGCTGATGCCGGTGGGGTGACTCCCCTTAAGGTTTTTTCCGCTCCACCCGGAGCTGGGGAAATGACTCAGCAACAGCCGCAGCATCCTCAGCAAGAACCTGCTGTTCTGAGCGAAGCTGATTTGAAACAGGTAACTATTCTGTAATGGAAAGCGAACGATAGTTTTCATAGGGGTGTAAAACTTGGTTTATATTATAGGACATGAATAATAATAATAATAATCTTTATTTCAAACTAGTTATAAACATAACAAAGTGAAATTACGTCATAAGAAAATACCTATATTATTCTTACTGCCTGCTCAAATTAATATAATCATCCAGACAATAGGGATCTAATTGAATTAACAGTTTTTTTAAATTTTCTCTCAAAAGTTCGTTGAGTTTCTGATCATTGTATTGCTAGAGGTAATTTTTTGTACAGTTTAACACACATATAACGGGGACCTTTTTTCTTAAGCTGAAGACGATGCATGGGATAGCTAAGAATATCTGCTCTTGTATAGTGATGATGACTATTAGGAGCTTCAAAGAGACTTTTATTTCTACAAACAAACATAACACATGCATAAATATACAGAGCATAGACAGTAAATATTTCCATTTTCCTAAACACCCCTCGAAATGACTGGCTAAAATCCATTTTTTTGATGTGACAATCTTGCCCCTAGAATATTATTCCGTATTTAAGAATAGACTCAAGTTGGCCGAGTATATTATTTTTAAAGTTTTCTTGTTCATTTTTTTTGGATTCTTCGTATTCCATAGCAAACGGAACTCAATACTTCAGTTAGCTGACTTATGTGATGTGACCAATCTAGATTTTCATTTATGTATGTACAAACACAAGAACTTTGTGTTTTCTGTTACTGTTAGTTTAAGGCTTTCGGTAGTTTCTAAATAATTAAAATTTTCCATTCTTGATAGTTTAGTTTTAAAGAGTACAAAATTAGTTTTATCTGGGTAAGGAATCAATTTGTTTGCAGTAGTGTACCACTAGGTTGCTGATGTAAGAAATTTTCTGCTATCAATTAACAAATTCAACATAGTTTCGCTACTTGTTAGTAAGTTTGTGTCATCAGCGTAGTTAATTGGTTAGAGAAGTGATGTCGTTTATAAATATCACAAAAAGTATGGGTCCCAGGATACTACCTTGAGCAGTTCCATTGTTGTTAATTACCAATTTGGATTTGCCATTGTTTATTTCTACAATTTGAGTTCTTCCATTTGAATAAGATATTAACCAGTTTAGTGCATGGCATCTTATCCCATACATCTCCAACTTTTTTACAAGTAATACCCCTAGACAGTCATAGGCCTTAGATAAATCAAGAAACATTCCAAGTGTGGCCTCACCTTTTTCGAAACTACTTAAAACTGTTTGAAGAAACTGATAAATGGCCGTTTGCGTTGATTTTCCCTTCAAAAAACCGTGTTGATTTTTACTGAATAAGTGACAGACATTCATAAATTGTATAATTCTGTTTCACATAGCCAATTCAAATATTTTGGTAAAATACTAATAGGTCTATAACTGTCCAGGTTTTGGGAATCCCCTTTTTTATACAAAGGTTTTATTAAAGCTACTTTAAGATTAGTTGTAAAACTGCCATTTCTAAAGGAACTACTAATTAGGAAACATAGTTCATCCCTTATTTCATAAGCAGAATATTTTATAAAACTTGTTGGTATTTCATCTACTCCGCTACTATGTTTGTTCTTAATCTTACTGACCAGTTTACACATCTCCTTTCCTTAGGAGTAGTAGGTTTCAGATACATTGATTGATTGTTCGTGTGAATATTACAAGAATGAGGTGAGATGTCAATGTTTTTTAGCAACTAAGGTATAACTGATATTAAATACTGATTGTAATCATTTGCCACTGTTCCAGCGCTTCCTTTTATTTGTATTTCATTTTTATCTTTAGTTTTTCTGGTTATTTACCTCACTAACTGTCCACATACATTTTATTTTGATGTCGGAGTGAGCAACCCTATTTTCATAGTTTTTAATTTGGGCATTTTTCAGAATATTATCATATTCTTTTTTGGTTTGTTTATAAGCGTCCTCATACTTAACATTATGTTTGCTCAATTTTAATAAGATGTCTAATCTGTGTTTACAGTCTAAAAGTTCTGGATCATTATTTTTAATTCGTTTTTTGTGGCAACTATATCTTAGAGGAAAATTCTGATTAAAAAGATGTATATATGTATTTATAAAGTTGGCCCAGCGAACATTGACATCATGTTTAGTAGCGATGTACACATTTTCCCAGTTCTGATCTCTTAAGCAGTCCAAAAAATTATTCTTGTTTTCTGCAGTGAAAAATCTTTTATATTCTGGAGCTCCTGGTTCATTTACTTTTGTTTCAAAAATAAGTTTTTGTGCTGTATGATCTAATACAAAGATTTCTACTATTTTTGTCCTAACGAAATTTGAATTTGTAAAAATATTGTCTATGCAACTAGCTGAAGTTTTAGTTATTCGTGTATTTTCTGTTATTGTATGGATTAAGTTAAATGACTTCCTTATTGTTGCAAATTCGGTTCTCGTCTGGTTTTCCATGACCATTTCTATATTAAAGTCTCCTACAAAATAGATTGGCTTATTTTCATTGAATATTCTTGACATTACTTGCTCTGTCGTATTAAAAATAGTTGAATGTTACCAGATGGTAGTCTTTACAGGGTGTCCCAAATTCGAGGGTGACCATTGAGATATCGGAAACTATAAGAGTTACGAGGTCGGTGAAATTATAGCAAAGTTGCGCAATTTTATGACCAATAAAATGCCGTTTTGAAATTTGAAAAATTCCTTATACTTCCGAAAATATTCGGAAAAAAACGAAATTTTGGAAAATCATTTTTATTTTTTCCTGAGCCTATTTGAAGAGCAATTTTAAAGTAAATGTCACTTCATCATTGTCACTTTTTCCCCTTTACAAGATGTTGCTACCAAATTTCAGATTCGACGTTTCGTCTTTGGACGGCCATCATCAACTTTATTTTTTTAAATACGGACCCTTATTTTTCATTTTCGATTTTTTGAGCTATTGATGTCCCGAAACCTATGACGTATCGCATTTACTCGAAAAAATATATTTTTTTTACTACTAACCTGAGAAATTGTCATTATTCAATCTATTTTTCTAGGAAAAAATTGAATTTCTCTCCCTAGGTGAATAATGAAAATAATGAAAAAATACCTAGGTTAATAATGAAAATGACGTCATGACGCAAGGATATTTTCATGTTTCTATTGGTTCAATTTCATTTTCATACGTCAATTTGAAAATAAAATACAGGTTTCTGTAGGTACATAGGAAGTTATCATAAGCTGTTGATAGAGGGCAGCACTTTCAAGAGGGCGTTCAAAAAAAAATTATTGGAGCACAGATTTTAAGCAAATTTCTCATTTTCTACTAGCAGTAGTAAAAAAAATTCTATATATTCCTCGGTAGAGAAAGTCATTATATACCTCACTCATTATAAACCTCGGCGCGAGCGCCTCGGTTTATAAAAGCGCTCGGTATATAAGGACCAACTTCTCTACCTAGGTATATAATATACTATTTTCTACTGACGTTTCATAATAGCAACTTTTCGATTGTCATTTCAGTTTTAAAACGACATTCTTTTAAGCACTGAGTGCGTAAAAGTTACTTTTATGCACTCAGTGCGTAAAAGTGACTTTTGAATGCGTAAAAGTGACTTTTGAGTTTGAATTTTGTTTTGTATTTATTATGAAGAACACCAGGCGTGGTCAACGAAATGCCCAAAAAGACCTCTTAAACCCATCGAGGGAATTCCAAGTACAAAGATTAAAACCCTAAATAAAATCAGCAAGGACATTCATTCCAAGCAAGCAAAAAAAAGTCGCATTCACCAACCTTTGACCATCCATGACCACATAATCGGAACTTACGTCACCAATTTAAACGAAAATCACAACATTGAGAGGCAAGAACTTGTAAACAAACTAAAAAAAAGATTTGTGGATCTTTTCCGTATAGACACAACAGCAGTTTTCAGTGGGAATCGATTATACATCCTAATGTTTGATTTGGATGAGCCAGTAAACAATGATTCACCAACAGAACCAGCCGACGGTCTTAAAGTGTATCAAGATGGATAAGTTAAAATTTATATATGCAAACATAAACAGTTATACCTCCAAAAAACATCTTGTACATTATTACGCACAAACCAACAATATAGACTGTATTATGTGTGTGGAAACCAAGTCAAAGGAAAACACCTCTCCGCTAAACAACTGGGACATTATTCAACAAAAAGGTAATATTGTCAATACTAACATACGAGGCGGTTCATTAGTCCAAGCAAAACAACAGGTCAAGCTAGGAAAAGCCAATCCACCAGCAATCAATAATAGATTAAACAGTTGCTTGCACTTCACTATCCCTTTCCGAGAAAGTAAGCTGCATATATTATTGGTTTACATTCACCCCTCATCGCGCATAGAAGAAACCATATTTACAAAAGCCGCACTATACGAATACTGTGTCATAATTGGAGACTTCAACCCAAATGCTGGAAAAAAACAACAATTGAATTTCTTCTTGCAGAACTCCGATTTTGTTAGAATCAACACACCACCTACATTTATCATGACGAACAACCCAAGCAGCACACCTGATATAATGTTATGCAGTCAGAATATTAAGAAAAACATTAATACTTCATTAACATCAGACCTAGGAAGTGATCATCTCAGTATACTATGGACTCTGGATGCTACAATTCCTCCAGAAGATAACTACAAAAAAGAAACAAAATATAATATACAAAAATGTAACATTGATCTTGTAAATCAGAAGCTAGGGGAGTTTTTACATGAAGAAGAAGAAATTAATGGAAACTTTATCGAAGAATTTAATAAGAAATTGTCAGAATTAGTTACATCGAATTCTCCAAAATCAAGGAAAAAAAGATTTAACTATGAACTTCCTCCCTTCATAGTAGCACTAATTAAGAAAAAACGCCAATTCTATAGACGAATAAAACAAAATGACAACGATTCAAACCTAAAAAGGCAATTCAATGATTTAAATAAAGAAATACACAAACTAATTGGAGAGTTCAAACAAGACAAATGGATAAAATGC